GTTATTAATAGGATGTTATTACATACCCCAATTTGGAATAGAAATATAAAGTATATATTATACAGCAATTTATATATATATAGTGATAATTTACCCTAGATTTAGATATCTATCAGCTAATGGATAATTTAGCATAGTTATTTATTTGAGGATTAACTTTGATTATATAGAGTTAGGTATAATTGAAATACACAATACATAATTTAATACTGATAATTCTAACAATATGATATTAATTTATCAATTATATCCAATATTATAAATTTAGAGGGTTGTTAATATTATTTACATTCAGTGTCAGATTTGGATGAAGAGAAGCTCTAGGCTATTCCATTTATGAGACCCCTCCTGATCTCCCACCCTCATGACTAGAAGAAGATGAAAGTGTGTCTTTAAAACAATTAAGCAAAGTTGAGTCATGGTAGTGGTCAAGTCAAAATATTATATACCTTGGTCGTAGGTCCAGATCTTTAGGCCCAATACGTCAGTCTACCAAGCCTGTATGTAAATCTGGTATTGTTTTTGTTAATTTACAATGTAATATTTTCTTGATATTGACTAATATAGTACTTTACCACATTAAACATGTGACATATGAAAACTCTATAACCGATCCAACGACTGTTCACTTAAAATTTGCCCAAGAGTACATTTTTTCATATTTCACTTCAGTAATGCCATGATTAGAATTCACGTTTGTTTTCTTTTCGTTTTTGAACAGATCACATTGGCTGCACTTCCAAAGCACGGTACTTGGTGTCTGGAATTCTGTAGCTATTGATATGATGTGTGTATCTTGGTATTAACATTCCCCAAAATACAATATGTACTGCTCTCAGAATTTACTTTTCTATTATGGTGACTAACTGGTAGCAAGGAGTTTTTGTTTTCCGCTCTTGCACAAATCAAGAATCAAAATTGTCAGTATCCTCTCCAAACCCTCCAACAACCTCACTAAAAAACTTCTAAATTGTTTCAATGGCATTTAATAAATGAACAAGAAATACACAGGTCACACTTCTATGGAATAAAATAGTGAACTGTACCTGTGCCCTTACGCTTTTGGGGATTCAGTTTACTGTCTGCTTTAAATATTTATTATCCTCAACAGTGTAATCAGGATTCTAAGAATGGCCCGATTAAGTGCATTAAATTTCACTAATCAACACTCTACAGACCTATACCTTTTACTTGATAAAGACTAGAAAAGCCCTGTTTAAATGTTGTTCAGTAATAAACAGTAATTGTATTCCATAGAATTGTGACCTGTGTATAAGAAACATCCAATTAACTTGCATTCCATATAATTACGGAATGTGTAATATACCAGTATATTGAAGACTCTCCACTTGTCAAAGATATGTAAAATCTTACATGTAACTGGAAAGTTAAGATGATTTTATTAATATGGCATGTTCATGTGACAAGAAGTTTTAACATTCTAGATAAAGTATGTCAAGTGTGTAGTTATTAATGTGATAAATGAGTAGTCTTGGCCTATATGTATGCATGTCTATTTGAATATTTAAATAGTTTAGACTTCAGTACATGTAAGTGTTGTTTATCATAAATGTGTTATTTTGATAAAATTTTGTTTAAAGTGAATTTTTCAAATCCTAATTTTGATTACACTGTGTACCAGTTAAGGGTCATGTAAGATTAAATAAATTTTTAAAACACAAAGTCATCTGAATCCCCCCCAAAAAAAGTGAATGCACTGATACAGCGTATTATTAGTATTCAAGAGTGTATATTGCAAGTATTTGAGGCCACTTACTGTATTTGAATGAGTTTAAATAAGACAGTTGATTGTTTACTAGTTAAAGCGTGGATGTTTGTTTCTTGGCATGGTTTATTTGTTATAGTGAGAGAACATGGATCTTACAATTTCAGACAGCCATGTGCCTAAAGTTACGCAAAATAGATTGAGAGGTACATTACAGACTTAACAGACATTTGAAATATAAATTTATTCTTGTGTAAAGAGCATATGTAAGATATCAGTTAGATCCTGAGGGATCAACATAAATTTACAGTACAAAAAAAGCAGTGATTGGAAAGCATTCTGCAGCATTTGACATTCTGTCACACAGAGGGGAGTCAAACACGGTTAAGATAGGATACCGGTACTTTGATATTTAAAATGGACCAGGATCTTTATTGTTAATGATGTTAACTCTGTACAATATACATGTACATTCAAAAGTACTTATAACTAAAACAAGCATTTTCTGACTAAGATTGTGTCCATTTAAAGTTTACATTAGTTTCTATTGATTTCCCATCACCATCTTTATGTGTCTTAGACAAATATTTGGAGCTACAGCAGGTCAGCGAGATAGGTGCAGGCTCACAAACCAGAAGGTTGTGGATGGATTAAAAAAAAACAAATTCCTGTGTAGACATTATTGTGCGCATAAAAGAACCCTTGACAGTTTGAGTAGGTGAAAAGGCCACTGCCTGGGCAAAATGTCTCTCAAAGAACATTGCATGGTGTTTTCCCATCTTCATTAGTCCGGTTGATTCAGAAAAGTAGGACTTATCAATTATATTTAATTAGTTTGAATAATTTTTCGTTCAAAGATATATTATTTTCAAAAATGTCACCATAAAAGTTGTTTTCACTCTCATTTGGCTGTTATTTTGTTTTGTTGTCAATTTAATAAAAAGGTTCATGAAATAAATTCAGTGACTATACATGTATAGGGATTTATTTATGGGCTATCTGTACCAATGATATAAATATTTCATAGACGAACAAATTAAAATAGGAATTTGCAATGAGCTATGTTTTTGCTCCATTTGACCATGATGTTATTTTGATTCTTATTTGATTAGAAATATGATTGAATGATTTTAGTTGAATTCTAGTTGATTTGTAAGAAATAATTGAGACCATAACTCATTTTGTTATGAACCATGCTTGAGTAATCTTCTACAGAAATATAAATGTGTTTGATTATAAGCCTTGATGTGGAATGTTGTTGTACTGGTGCTGTTCTTGAGGTGGGTATAGATCTGCAACCCCACTATGTTCATCTATAAAGTTAAATGTCTCTATTATACATGTAATTCAACTCCACTTTTCCAGGGGCAAGGTGAAACCTCTCTCTACTCCCATCCACTCCAAACTTTCTGTTCTGTTCTAGTTGAATAATTTGAAAACTGTATGACATTGTTTACCAGCTATAAAGATTAGTTAGTAAACATGAAGACATTACTAGATTAGTTGTATATACCGGTATATATATATAGTAAGCACTAATACATTACTAGATGACTACATTACTAGATACTAGATTAGTTGGTAAACATGAATACATTACAGGATTAGTTAGCAAACATGGGATACATAATGTATTATTACATTAATGTAATTACTAGATTAGTTAGCAAACATGGGATACATAATGTATTATTACATTAATGTAATTACTAGATTAGTTAACATGAATACATTACTAGATTAGTTAGTTTATTTAAATTAAATAACATTCCATTTTAGCCACTAAAATGTATGCTTAACCTTGACATAGATCAGTGTCAAAAAGATGTTGAGTCTGGAGGCTCAGTGCGGAGGGGTGTCCATCAAATGGGCACAAATACAATGCCGAGTGGTAATCAGTCTGCCGTTGGGGCGTTTTCGAGATATACATTTTTATTGAAAGGGTGATTACTTTCAATCATTTTCATCTTATTTTCATGAACCAAAGTTTGTATTGATTGGATTCATCAAAATTATATAAATTCAATTCATTTATCAATTTTTATTCACAAATATGATTAGTTCTGTATTTTAGTATGCTTTGGTGGGAGCTAGAGACCTACATGACATTTAGTGCATGAGGTAGACTACTTTCTTATTAAAAATGCACTTTATAGAATTTAAGCTAAATGTAGGGTGTAGGGACTACAAATATAATTAGATGGGTAAAACAAGCACCATAATCAACTTGTTCTACTAGTTCTATTTGAGGAATGTGAAGAACCTAGATTCACTTATTGTACATACATGTACATGTAGCATTAAATTTCTAGGGTACTTTAACCCTATCTAATACTAACATACATGATGTACAATCTTCTCGCATTTTACCCTCTAAACTGTACTCTTTAAACTTACTCATTGCCAGAGATCTGTCATATAAGCTTAGGTTTTTGGCTGTATGTCAAGATGATCTTTAGTAAGAAGGCTTTAAGATAAATATAATTAGTATGGACATTTGCACATGTTCTTAAAATTACTTGCCACCTTATTCTGATAAAATATTCTGATAAATAAACTTTATTAAGCTTTACATAACATTTTATGATCACACATGTAGTACCCTTCATCAGTTTTGAATTTGGTAGTGGTGAGATCAATTTTATTGATATGATTTGGATGATAAGTAAATTGATTTTAATTTGTGCTCTTTTATCATAATCACATATACATTATTTACCATAATGCATTGTTATTGTTTTAGTTGAATGACTTAATTAGAATGAAAAAATTCTATAGATGTATGTGTAAAATTTGATTTCCTGTAAGCAGATTATGTTGATTAGTTTATGAAATGATCTTGTATAAATACAAAAATCATGCTGCTTTTCTTGATTTTGCAGTTAGATTCTGACTGGGCTTTTAAACTGGTAGTCATTTTTCACAGGAATTTGATTCCAGTTGTATATGTCATTGTGACCTTATTGGTGGGTCGAGAAACAGAATTGCTTCTAAAGTTTCTTTGTTCGATGCTACCATATGTTCTTCATTGAAGATGATTACATTTTTGTTAGAATTAGTTTATTTTTGCTGAATAAAGAGAGAGCCCCCAATCTAGTTCTTAATGAGGGAAACATTCTTGAATAATTGACATTCTATTTCTAGGGGTGAATGACCTTTTTCAATATAATAGTATGACAATATTAAATATCAGTGCTTTATTAAAGATATCTTTTCAATTTAAAATGATATACACTGGATATTTATTTTTAAATGAACTTATTTGTTATTCCAGGTTCGATGTTTATACTAATACCTTAACCCTGTGATTGTCAACAACTTTAACCTACCATCATGCCTGTAAGTATCCAACATTTTTCACCTCATGCAGTACGTTGCATTTATAATCATTGCACATTATATTATGATAGTCTTTGAAATTTTGTATATTTGATAAACTATTACAATTATTTTCCTTTTTATACGCCCAGATTGAAATGTGGTCAGATATTGTTGTCGCCGCTGTCGGTCTGGTGTCCACAATCGCTTGTGGATGATCTAGAAGCTAAGGTTAATATCTGATTGACTTTAAATATATACACAGTGTTTTAGGTCATGGGACACAGAAGCCTATTGATTTTCAACAATTTACAATAATTACTGCCAGAGTTATGGCCCTTGATCACTTTAAATATCTTGAGGACACTCTAGAGGCTACAGTTAATATCTGATTGACTTTAAATTTATATGCACTGTTTAAGGTCATGAGATAAAGAAGCCTATTGATTTTCAACTATTTTCGATAATTACTGCCAGAGTTATAGCCCTTGACCTCTTTGAAAAATCTTGTAAAAGCTCTTTAGGCTAAAGTTAATATCTGATTGACTTTAAAAAACTTATACAGCATTTAAGGTCACGAGACAAAGAATCCTATTCATTTTCAACGATTTCCGATAATTACTGCTAGAGTTAAGGCCCTTGATCACTTGTGGAAGTTCTAGAGGCTAAAACTCCATTTCTTTCATTCATTGACTTTAGAGGCTAAAGTTAATATAAATTGTTTAAGGTCAAGACACAAACAATCAAAACAAATTCTAATGTTTTCTGATAATTACTTCATGGGTTATTACCTGTAATCAGATTTTCATGTATTGTAAATGTTTTCATTACTGACAAAAGAAAAAAAATATGCAACAACACTTGTTGCCTGTCCGGATGACTTAGCTGCTGTGGGTGTATGTTTTGTTGCCTAGCAACACATCTTTTTTCTTGTTATTTTCTTATTTTTATACACCTATAATAAAGTGGTCGTATTTTGTCACCCTTTCTGTCTGTTAATCTGTCATCCACATTCGCTGTTTAGGCTTATGATATCATTTGATTATGCACAGTGTTTTAAGTTGATGAGACAAAGATGCTTATTAATTTTCACTGATTTCCGATAGTTACAAGTACTGTTATAGTTACAACCCTTAATCTTTTTATAAAAATCTTATGTATGCCCTAGAGGCTAAAATTATAGTCTGACTTAAATGTATACACAGTGTTGATGCAGTGGTTCATTAATTTCCAATAATTACTGTCAGATTTATGCTTCTTGATCAATTTGAACAATCTTGTGGACGGTTTAGAGGCTAATGTTATACTATAGTCTGACTTAAATGTATACAGTGTTGATGGAGTGTTTCAATGATTTCCAATAATTACTGTCAGAGTTATGGTCCTTGATAAATACGAAAAATCTTGTGGACGGTAATTGATTTGAAATTACTACCTTTATCACTTTTAAAAAATCTAGTAGGTAAAAGTTATTAAGATGGTTATTGTTTTTCAATGAATTTTGTTAACTCAAACATTACCATCTGAATAATTGTATTGTATAATAAATGTTAGCACTAAGAAGAACGAGAAGCCAATCAAATTTTAATTATTCCTGGTAGTTGTGTTGTTACTCTTGAACAGTTTTTAGTGCTTTTTTAAATTCCCTGAATAGCTGCAGTGGGCGTATGTTTCATCGTCTGGCAACCTATCTTTTATGAACTAATGATCGAGACACATTGTTGCTGATATTCTGTTTTGATCATATTAATTATGCTTATGAAATTGTTTTTCAAGTTTTTTAATTACATAATTACAAATTTCTAATAGGACAAAATAGAATGTGACAATTATTAGATTAAGAGATGGATATTATGATCAGTTTAGGTTAATAGGTTGAAGATAAACATTCCACACATTAGAAACCCCCCGGCTTAGTGTCTTCACTAGAATTTATATCATTAGTACTTGAATAGCATATTATATTATAATCAATATGAATTTATTTAATTATATATTCAAATCATTATATATATATATATGCCTTTATGCAATCCCTATTTCATCCATTATTTTATTGCAGCATCTTTCTCTGTAGCAGTTTATGTGGTAGTCTACGTACAAAAATTGCAATTCACTCTTTTATTTCGATCACTCTCTGTTAGAAACGCCACTCAGAAACCTTGTCAACAATGGGATCCAACAGTTTGGAGGTACATGTATTGAGGAAACAGCAAATAATTCTGTATAGCATGTTCAGTTATTGTCACTTGCATCTTGTACACCGTTTGGGTTCACTCTACCCTACCCTACTAGTGTTTCATTGGATTTTCAGTTTGCTTTATTAAATGTCTTCTGCCGTTAGTGACATCTTAGTATAACAATGGCTGTCTGGATCCTTCTATATGTCATTTAACTCAACATAATCGTCTTTGTTTAATATCTTCATGATCATTTTAAATGACAAACTTTATGATCAATCAGTTATTTTAACAAAATATCACTTACAAGAATGATGGGCTTGGTTATAAATGTCACTAATTATACGTAGATAAGAATAATACAATAACTTTACCAAATCTGCATAGTCAATTAACATCATTTTTAATACAAGGGCATAGTACTTATATTAACCTACAAATGTCTAGAATTTTTTTTTAAAAAACAAAAAATCAGAGGTAAATGTTTATAATTTGACATAGATTTGCATTGAAAGTGTATACAAAATTTGTTTTTTTTTTCAATAGAATATGGGTTGTAGGACACTTGAATTGGCAACAGTAGTTTATTTTGTTCCCATCTAGAACATTTCCATTTTAAAAATCAGTTACAGCAGCTGATTTGAGACATTTATACCCTATCGCTAATATTGTTTATCAAATGAGCCAACTATTAAATTTTCCTAAATGGGCATTGGATATTCAGTCTCTATAGATAATTCTTATGTACGGGTGGTAGCTTAAGCCAAATAAAACTAAATTTGAAAAGAAATGGAGATCTGTGTGTTAAACAGATTGATGTATAATTTAAGATTAAAACTAATATTAAAACCTAGTTATTTATTATGAAAAAGATATCCTTTGTAATTAAAGGTGGTATGTATTATGAATTTTAAGAGTTTTAATTATATTGGAAAAGAGGAGAGGATGGTGTTACAAGTTATTAAACTTCTAAATTTAATTTCTATTTCTATTACTTTTATTTTTCCATATGCCAGTAATAAAATTTGAAGGGTTGGGGTGGGGTACATGATATAGTCTTTGCTTAATTTTTGCATACACCTTCTATGCACAATCTCAAGGAGACTACATCTTGTCATGAGCGCCGTGCAAAATTCAAAGCCAATTTTTGGTATTAGAGGATTGAATAATGAATGTATTTGATACATGATGTAATTTCTTCCTGTTATTAAAATGATTAATACCATTTATGTTTTTGGAACAGATCGTAATAAAATCAGCCGCAATAAATTAAGCTGTCATTTATAGCACTTGGATAGCTGCCATTAAGTGACAGTTATATTAAGGAAAATGGCAGTATCAGAAGGGAAATATTGATGAAAAGTGAATTGTTATTAGATTTAATTTGTTGGTTTATTGACTATACAAGGACTATGTGTCAAATACATGTAGTAAATTCTTAGTTGTTTGGTGTCCACCATTACTATGTGTAATGATAGTCGCAAATAAAATAGCTGTTGTTTATTTTGTTTGTTTGTTTCCTGACCAGTCAACATTCTTTGTTTATCATATCCCATCCACTTGGTACAATTTCAAATCTTTTCAGCCATTTTGGTGCCAGTTTTCATACATTTTTCCACATTTTACAAGAAAATCACTATCTCTGTTGACATTGTATTTTCTGCTTTATGGATGTTTGTCTATTCTAGTTGCCTGGATGATTATTTATTATACAGTCAAATTTTAGCCAAAAAGTAATTAAGGAACGACATCATGAATAGGATGAAACTTATGATTTATTTGATATTTTAATCAACGAAGGTGGTCATAATTCTATTTAGATAAAACAAAATAATAAACAGTAGATACTACTTCTTAAGTTTCTAAGTGTGATTTGAACGATATGGGAATCCATTGCAAACTAACGTAAAAGTTGAATTTCTAATAGAAATATCAGTCCAAAAATGGTTCAGTTCCATTGTTAATTTATAACGTTATGATGAAGCGAAATTCCATCAATCAGTAATTACAAGTCTGTTTATTGTTGGATGACGTCATATTAGAACACACCCTCCACCATCTGAAAGTGTTTATGAAATATGATGGATATGCCTGTTTTTAATCCGATTGAATCCTAGCGAGGATAAATTGTTGTCATTAATTATTCTCATAAATTTTAAAATTCTAACTTTTCAAGCTCTGGTAATTGCAATACTCTTGAATTATGCTCATTGTTTACCTCTCTATAACTTATAAGGTCACCCACTTACTGTAAACATATAAGGTTCTTTTGTCTGTTCAATCATAATTGTAATTGTGGATGCTCTAGAGGTTAAAGTTACGTTCCAATTGCATTTAAATGAATACATTGTGTCTGTGGTCATGAGATGAACAAACCCAATGATTTGCATTGATTTTCTATAATTCCTACAGAGTTGTGGCCCTGGTTTAAATTGAAAAATCATGTGGATGCTCTAGTCTAGAGGCTAAAGAAGTCAAATGATTTGGTTTAATCACTGCCAAAGTTTTTGCCCTTGACAACTTTTAACAATCTTGATGAATTTGTTTTTCGAGTTCCTTTATTTTTATTTCAATGTGGTCGTATATTGTTGTCGCCCCCGTCTGTTCGTCGGTCGGTCCGGCGTCGACAATTGCTTGTGGACACTCTAGAGGCTAAAGTTAATATCTGATTGACTTTAAATTTATACACAGTGTTTAAGGTCTTGAGACGAAGAAGCCTATTGATTTTCAGCGATTTCTGATAATTACTACCAGAGTTATGGCCCTTGATCACTTTGAAAATTCTTGTGGACGCTCTAGAGGCCAAAGTTAATATCCAATTGACCTTAAATTTATACACAGTGTTTAAGGTCATAAGACAAAGAAGCCTATTGATTTTCAGTGATTTCCGATAATTACTGCCAGAGTTATGGCCCTTGATCACTTCAAACAATCTTGTGGACGCTCTAAAGGCCAAAGTTAATATCCGATTGACTTTAAATTTATACACAGTGTTTAAGGTCATGAGACGAAGAAGCCTATTGATTTTCAGCGATTTCCAATATTTGCTGCCAGAGTTATGGCCCTTGATCACTTTGAAAAATCTTGTGGACGCTCTAGAGGCCAAAGTTAATATCCGATTGACTTTCAATTTATACACAGTGTTTAAGGTCATGAGACGAAGAAGCCTATTGATTTTCAGCGATTTCCGATAATTACTGCCAGAGTTATGGTCCTTGATCACTTCAAAAAATCTTGTGGATACTCTAGAGGCTGTCCGATTGAGTTTATATTTATACACAGTGTTTGAAGTCATGAGACGAAGATTCCTATTGATTTTCAATGATTTCCGATAATTACTGCCAAAGTTATGGCCCTTGATCACTTTGGAAAATCTTGTGACACTCTAAAGGCTAAAGTTATCATCCGATTGACTTCAGATTGATACACAGAGTTTAAGTTCTTGAGACGAACAAGTATATTGATTTTCAATGAATTTTTATGACTTGAACAGTTAAATCCATGATATTAAAATCTTTGTATATAAAACGTTAGCATGGGGCAGAACTTTATAAAAACCCAAAAATTCTAATGGTTTTCTGATAGTTACTTCGTGAGTTGTTGCTCTTAATCAGATTTTAGTGTATTATAAATGTTTTATTACCGAAAAAAGTAAAAATATGCGACAACTCTTGTTGACTGCCCGGATGATTTAGCTGCTGTGGGCATATGTTTCGTTGCCTGGCAACCTATCTTTACATTCTGATTTTAATGAAGTGGTCTAGAATTACTTCAGAGTTATTACCCTTGATAACTTTTTAAAATCTTGTTCACCGTTTAGCAGTTCAAGTTGTTTCCTCATTGATTTGAAATTAATACAGCAGTGTCTATTTGATGAAACATTAATTTCAAGCGATTTCAAATAACTCAAACAGCCGAATTTATCATTGTTACCGGTAGGCCTACATGTTTTGTATAATAAATGTTAGTATCTTGAAAAACTAGAGGCCAATTTAATTATTTCTGATAATTACTTATTGGGGTTTTACTCATAATTAGTTTTTGTTGTCCTTTATACTCTCCCATTACCTACAAGACAATAGATATGTGACAACCCTTGTGGAGTGTTCAGACGACTTAACTGCTGTGGGTGTATGTTTTTTTGCCTGGCAACCTATCTTTATAATATTGCTGCTTTGATAAAAGCTTCTGTCTGACTTAACTGTATATTATTTAAATCATTTAAATATATTTGCCACTTTTGAAAATATATATCAATTTTCTTCTAAATCTTTTCTTGGCTTTGATATTCTGCAGCCACTCAAATGTCTTCATAACTTTGTGCAGATTGATGACACCATTTCCCTGTCATGCTTCCTTTTACAATGATTTACATCAATCATGGCTTATATTGTTGTTTTTAAGGTGATATTAATCTAGTTGGGTGAAAATAGAATTTGAAGAATAACTTGGCAAGATTCCAAAGGGTACCTTCATCTTAAATTCTGAGTCCTACACATTAATGTCTTATATTATATCAGACTGATGAAAATTACAAAGCCATTTCAGTTCACTTCTTTTTATTTCCGGGAGATATGCTTACATTGGAAATTACTTCTATTATGTAATAGTATTTATAAAATGCATTATGTAATAGTATTTATAAAATGCACTATCAAGGTGTTTAATACTGATTAATGAGTCTGACGGATGTTACACCATGTATTATAATGCAGGCGCCATGGCTAGTTTGTCAATCAATAAATATAGTATGAAAACAATCATTCCTGCTTCTTTTTATAGCCTGATCTGTATATAAGTAGACAGATTAGTAGAAGAATATCTGTTCGTAATAACGTTATAATCTGATGTAAGGCCATTGATTTAGCATCAGTTGCAGTTAATGTTGACTTCATTGTAGTTATTCTTATCAAACACTCTTGATGTCTCAACTACATTCAAAAATGAAATGAAATGGGGATTAACATCCTACTTTTTTTGTACTGACTTGGCTAATAAAGACAGGTATACGCCATGCAATGTGCTATGATAGAAATTTTGGACGGACAGTGATTGTCTTACTCTTATTTCAAATTCCAACTGTCAAGGTTATTTTACGTGCACGCTAGGGTGTCCACACTACCTCAAGATTTTGTGCCATCCAAACAACTATACACTGTTCCTTGCCAGGCCCTCCATCCTGCACTACTGACAAGGGGAAAGCACACCAGAATTTCCTCTGCCATCACTGAGAATTATCTGATTTTGATGAAACTTGTTGGTTCCTTTTGATATTGTCGCATGTCGGACTGTAACATCCTGGGTTATGGCTCCTGAAAATACGAAAAATCGCTGTTTAGTTTGTTTCTGTCTATCTCTTGCAAAATGTGGGCGTATCTTGCATGGCAACCACATGTTTAATATTCAGCCAATGACAATATGTTATTTCAGTAACTGGCTCAGTGTATAAATTAATTTCTATGTAGAAAGTACCCTGCTGTATTCTTTATTCAATATTTGGTTGGTATTGAGTACTGGTATATAAAATCATGTAGTGTTAATGTTTTACATGCATGAACACATTGGCTTGCACGTGAAAGAACCCTTGACATTTCAAATTAAAATCAACATAGAGCGTAAGATGAAACATTGTTGCCCTGGCAAACTTCCCCTACCTCAATCGGCACACACAACCATAGATATGAAAATTATCGTGTTTGTCACAAAAATGACAAAATATTGTGTTAACATGACATTAAATCCCATTCCATTCGGCGTCAAAATAAATTAGTAATTGCTCTTCCATAAATATGTGTTATGGTTTATTCCCATTCCATTCATGTAAATAAACTTGGCAGAGATTCTAATGCTTTAAAAACATAAAATGATTCAGTTGAGATTTATCTCGTGCTGTGGATGTTTATTTAGATTATGCTCCATTAAAGGAAAACAAATCTGTAATGAAGACCCAGTCTCATGCTGATCTAAGAAGATGCATGTCTGGCTCTTGTGTCATTTATTGGCTTAAATCATGTGTTAAAAGAAAACATATCTTCAACTATGCTGTATGTTCATTTTTTTTGTGCATACATGTACTATAGGATAAGATTGTTCAGATTTATAAAATATCTCCAGAGTATCCATAGAAATTTGTAATTTTGAACACTGTAGTATTAATATGCCTTGTAAAGAAATAATAATGTTTCAAAATCTAGACCTTTATCGGTCATAGTGTTTATTAAAACAGGCATTATGCAAGAGCTAAATCTGCCTATTGCAGGTCTTTCTTTAGGCCTTAAATGTTATAAATTATTAATTAGACATAATTAACTTATCAAGGCCATAAACACCTCTCTTTGCAATTGGATGGCTCTGCTATTAAGTAGATTTAAACATGTTTTGCTTTTGGTGATTTACTGTAAAAATGGATAAAGTACACTTTGTTTATTATCGTAACAACGGTAGCAATGACAATCGAAGGTACACTGTTATTGTGTGGCCGATATCTCTGCTCAAAGTGAAGTAATCTGACTGAAATTTCCAACATATTCCCTTTTCATTATCTATTTTTAACTATTATAGCGAGAACTGTAAGCTCTTTATCCTTTAAAGGAGAATAATTTCGCAAAAAGTTGTTTTATTATGAAAAATAACGTTAATATTAGAATATTTTTAGCCCTGCGAAATTTTAAAAGTCATTCTGAAAAGTCATATTGGAAAAATATACCCAAAAAAACTGAACTGACATTTATGCATATCTGCAGCCTCGTTTTGATTTTTTCCGTGAGTGATGTCAAAGACGACAGACGTCGTGATTTTACTTATAGAAGACTATTGCAACTGAGCACTGCATCCCGTCATTTTGTCTACCTGGAAGCATTATCATGGTCAGTTGCGTTGTTTGGGGATGTACTAATAGCACAAACAATAAACCAGGAAGCATGTGTCATTTTTAAAAAAAATTTTCAAGCGAGGCAACACGCAGAATGGTCTGGACACAGCAATGTCAACGAGGCGATGTCAAAACATGCTTCTCTTTGTTTGGAGCATTTCGAGTTATCTGCTTACGAACGTGACCAGTGCAATTTTAATTATATTATTATGTCGATCAAGATATAGCAGTTATGTTATCTTTCAATGCAAAAACTATGCATAGTTCTATGGTGAAACCGACATGCTTTCAAAATCTAGGAATATAAATGACTGATGTAACCATAGCAATGAAATGTAAACAACACAGCTAGGTAGGCCAGCTAAATACTACTAAATGTAAATTAATATCCCCACTTCGAAGCGTCTTCCGCGCCAGTAGTAGGTGTAGGCCCATGTCGACGATTTTGCAGTCGATCATAGATAGTCCTAGATGTAGGAAGTCTGTCAGATTTAACTAGGTAAATGAGTGTGATAGAATATTTTTTCAGCGATACGCGGATACTCGGGTCCGATGCCGATAGTTCTATGTATGTGATCCTTGTTTTTCAATTGTTGCACAAAGAAAGTAGTCTAGGACATATAATACCGTATTACCCTATGGCTAGGGTAAACTTATTGGAATTAATAGTTTTTCTCTGATATATTTTCGCTGAGGAAGCATGAACATCGATAAATGAAGCGAAAAGTTATCGAGAATCCAACTCCAAGGACTGTGGAGTGGTGATAATACAAGGTAGGCCTACGCTGTTTTTAGTGCCTATTTGTCATTCTTCGTGGCTAGAAATGGTAGAATGGTCCGAACTATTATCGTCACCGCTGTTGCTCGCCTTTCTAATTGGCTCGTACTGATTGGGAAGAATATTCGGGGTGAAATCAATGTCTGACAAGCTGTCACTTTTTGCCGATACCATATTGAAATATACAGCGACTGCTACACCAGAGTCGCCTCTTACGTCATGTCACATGATTTAGCTTCAGCTCATTAATTGTCGGGTGTTTCCGTAATTCCGGAAATTCCGAAAGTGTTTTTTAATGTTATTCGTTACTAAAACTTTTTTTTAAAAAAAATAATGCTGAAATCCGTTACACAATGAACTAAGTAAATAATAAAATTAAACTTTTACTATTACATTCTCCTTTATTTAAGTTGGTAAAAATGTTATTAATTTTATAATGTGTATATCTTCATGCAAATAAATTTTCAATGTTTAAGTATTTTCCGCATATCGAATATAAGATCTTCTGATTCTGTTTTTTAACGTTATTTGTTACTAAAACTTTTTTTTAAAAAAAATAATGCTGAAATCCGTTACACAATGAACTAAGTAAATGATAAAATTAAACTTTTACTATTGCATTCTCCTTTATTTAAGTTGGTAAAAATGTTATTAATTTTATAATGTGTATATCTTCATGCAAATAAGTTATCAATATTTAAGTATTTTTCGCATATCAAATATAAGATTTTCTGATTCTGTTGATCTCGTAAGTTAATTAAAAGTGGGCATGTAGCCATTTTGTGATTGATTTTGTTGGAAGGAAGTGATTCTTTCCTTTCTTAAAACGTGTGTCCCTTATATTGAAAGAGAAATGCTATCATAAAGGAAACCCTTGTCTATCATTCCTAGAGTTTGTTTTATATGAGAAGTGTAAAAGAAATAGTTAAACAAGAATATAGTGAAGCTTGACAGATTATCTTGCAAAGAAAACTGAAGTTAACTTGTCCACATAATCCCTTACATGTATTTTTGTGTAATAAGAGCTGTAGAGTTGTATGCATGTCAATTGTCTTGACTTTTCAGCATGAAGGTTTGCAATATGTTTTGTTGTTGACAAGTTTAAATGTGGATTAAACTAGCATGTTTCATTAAGTTTAAACGTAATGCTGTAATAATATGATAGAGATATTTTGTAAACATTTATATCTTAATGTATTATTTTAGGCCTTTCTTAACTCAATAAGAGATTTGATTTGATTTAATGTAAAAGAAATGTAAACTTTCAATGCAATAAATGGTTTCTCTTTGTGCCAAAATTTGACAAGCATCTTGTGTAAGCTAAGATTGCACAGAGATTAGGAAGGAATTAAAGTGTTAACTATACTGCCATTGTTTATTCTTCTGATTTTCTTCCATTTTTCAGATGGCATTTAAAATGCGGAGTACCAAATTCCGCCATGTTTACGGTAGCCCTTTTCGGAAAGAACATTGTTATGAAAATGTGCGAATAACACGAAATGCTCATGAAAGCCATTTTTGTGCTGTGAATCTGAAATTTGTAGCTGTCGTCACAGAAAGTTCAGGTGGAGGATGTTTTGTAGTGTTACCTATTGAAAAGGTAGGTATATTGATAGATACTTACTGATATTTGTATATTATTATTTTCATAGCATTAATTTTAATTTGATACCTGGCATATTTTTCTTAAACTGTGTATTAAAATATCTCGGAACTGATATCTATTTGTTGATAACTTTTTATTTTAGACTGGTCGAGTGGACATAAATTCTCCAAAAGTATGCGGTCATGCAGGTGCTGTTATGGATATCAAATGGAACCCTTTCAATGAAAATATTATAGCTTCAGGTGCAGATGATTCTACGGTAGGTTTTTATTTTGTTTTAAAGCCTGGGTGTGTGAGAAGGCCAATAAAGTTAACAATAATCAATAATAATGACAGAATGTTCGTTAGATAGTAATCTGGATGATAAAAACACAAAACATAGATGCTATTTCATGGAAATAAATAAATTATTGTTAGGATTCAGCTAACCCTATAAAATAAAAGATGGGAGCATGACATAAATAATTGAATTTTGGATGGCATAATAATGGACCAATATGCTTGTTGTTTAAACTACCGGTACTAAATATTTTCTAAAGTCTGTACGTAGTTCCCTATATTAGTCTGAAATAGTTTGGCTTTAATTCGATTACTGTATTCAAAAAGAACGACAGAAGCAAAAACATGAAAAAATAATTTAATATTTGAAAAGTTTCAGTGTGTTATCAAAAATGATCACAGTATAGTTATTTTCAAAAAAACAGGTTGTTATGTGTAGGATAAAGCACGAGACTGAAGTTATGCTGGGGAAAGAAAAACTGAAGAAAATAACCTGAGAAAAAGAAAAAGCAAGGCCAGCAGGCCGAGGTTTTTCTGTCAGGTTTTTTTTCTGAAGTCTTTCTTCCCCAGTATAATCGAAGTCGAGGACTTTATCTTGCTTATAAACCATCTATGTTTACATGTGCTTATAAACCTATAACGGTAAATCTCTTTGATCTTTGGGGTATATTCTATGCCCGGAAAGTCTGAAAGTCGGGGGCGGCTTTGGATATATACAGGTGACTTTGGGATTATTCTTCTGAAAGTTTTTCTTTAAATCTGTAACAGGATATTCTTCCAGCGTATGTTTTTTTCCATAAGAAAACATAATATAAGGTTTTTCTTACTGGAATTCTGGGATATTCTCATTTAACATACATGTAAACATAGATGGTTGATAAGCAATATAAAGAATATCCCAGAATTCCAGTAAGAAAAACCTTTTATCTTGTTTTCTTATGGAAAGTAAAGCCTACACTGGAAGACTAACCCGTTACTACAGGTTTTAAGAAAAACTTCTAGAAGAATAACCCCAAATTCCCTTGTATATATTCAAAGGCGCCCCCGACTTTCAGACCACAAGTTATTCCGGGCATAGAATATACCCCAAAGATCAAAGAGATTTACCATTATAGGTTTATAAAGTTAGGGAATCCATAAAATAAACCTTATAATCCACCTGATAGTGTACATTGATCTAACAATACCATTACTAATGTCAGACCTATGTTTACCATACTAGGAGAAAATCTGTTAAGAGATGAAATAACCACCAGACTTCCACATACCACTGATATAAATATATGTAGATATAAAAGTATATACTGTATAGTCATTATGTATCTGGTGCCAAGCAATATACACACTTGTCATTCTTTACATACATATTACATACATACAACTGTGCTATTTTCAGTATTGGGTGTGGTTATGTGCGTTTATACATAATTTATCCTACTGTTGTACAGTATGTTTTCAGTGCAATTAAGAACATTATTTTCTTCTATTAGACAGTGCAGGAAAAACTGCACAACAAAACAAAACAAAAATTATTTATTCTGCCAAGTTGATACAAATTTTGTATTTGTGTCATCTACAGGGCACAATTCTTTACAGATTGTTTTGAAACTTTGCATACTTATTCCTTGAGCCACACCCAATTTCTTTTTGTGTCTGTGTGTCACCTATAGGCTGCAATTCTTAATGGATTATTATGAAGACTTTTTATATTCCTTATACACCGAGGAAGACCTCTAATATTATTTGTGCATGCTCGCCAGTATCCCTTTCACAGATGAACTATGTGACTAGTGGCGCTATCGGGTGATACAGATTACACTCAGTGTAAATTACAGTCTGATTTTTTATTATGAATAAATAAATAATATATTAGTAAAAGTGTTTTCTCAATTTCCCTACTTGCTGGAGAGTCACAATTGATCAATAGGAGCTGGGCTTGTTAACTAGGAGGTCTAGGGTTCGCTCTGCATTTTTGCCAACAAAGATCAACAGGATTTTCTTGCTTGTTTTCCCTGGAGTAATAGTAAGCTGCTGGCCGAGCAAGATTTTCCTCTTTTCACACTGCATGGTATATGCCCTTCTTCATTCGCCCGGTCGGACCAGAAAAGAATGTTAAACCTCATTTCCATACTGGTTGAGCTGTAAACTTGACTGCTGCTTGAGAAGATTTGATATACCGGTATATTGTTTTAACAAAAGAATCAAATACAAATAATGACAATGGCATTTGAAACATTCCACTCATTTCTGTTTTTCTTTTCAGATTAAACTTTGGCAAATTCCTGATGAAGGTTTATACTCCAACTTAACAGAATGGTCAGTTGATCTACATGGTCATCAGAGAAAAGTTGGTTATGTGGAATGGCACCCAACAGCAGAAAATATTCTACTTTCAGTTGGCTTTGATTTTAAAGTAAGCTGCAAGTTGTAACTTTTCACAAATTGTAATTATGTTGTATAATGTCATTACAAGTATTTGGCAGTCCAGTTGACTTTTACATTTTTGTTCTAGCACATTTAATTGTCACAAAGGCATCCTTTGTTTATCTATCTATCCACAGTATCTGGCAGTATTATCTTGGTGTTGCCAAGACTAAAATTAAAATCATATTGTGTGGTTGACCACTACATATTAATTTGAATGTTATTATTTCAGTGTATAGTGTGGAATGTTGAACAAGCCGAACCTGTAAATATAATAGATAGTCATAATGACACAATATTTTCTATGTATTGGAATAATGATGGTAGTTTATTTTGTACAACATCTAAAGATAGAAGAATACGTGTTATAGATCCTAGAATAGCTCAAGTAGCAATAGTAAGTAGATGGAACATCACAGAGAACAAATTAAAAAGTACTGGGGATTCCAAAAACTAAAAGTATTATCACTGAAGACTAATTACCATTAGGTAATTAAGAATAGTGTTAGGTTCTCAACATGCTGTCTAGAATATAATACTCGTAATTTTTGACTGATTCACACTACTTCAATATGAGAAGATATCCATAAGGTTCAGATCTGGTTGAAGTAAGCTTATCAAGTAAATATCAATGTGAAAACCCTCATGTTCGATAGAATTTTTAAGATTAGTTGAACAATGAACAACCAGAGTAAATTTAAAGAAAAAAAGGAAAGAGATAAAATATCTAAGTGTTCTCCTATATATGAATATTGTTAAGTCTTTGGATCCAAAACATTTCAATGGTAAACATTGTTACACCTGGCCACCTGTGAAAATAGGCAGCAGTATTATTATATTAAAATATATTGGGGATAACAGAGTCAAAAGCCGGTAAAATAATGTAACAGAAGTTGATAAGTATCAATACTTATGATACAGATTATGAAATGATATAAATGTGCCTTATGTTGTTGTGATTTACAGGAAACAGAAGGTCATGCAGGAACTAAGTCATGTAAAGGGATTTTCCTTCGAGATAATCATAGAATAGTTACTACTGGGTTCTCAAGGATGAGTTCAAGACAGTTTGCCTTATGGGATGTTGTAAGTCCATATGTAAAGTCTATGAAACAACTTAATAGTTTTTATACACCCACATTTTCATGTGGAAGTATATTGTTGTCGCCCCTGTCCGTCCGTCCACAATTTGTTTGTGGACACTCTGCAGGTCACAATTATTATTCGATTTAGATGAAACTTAAAATATTGGTCTATCTCCCAAAGTTACAGGAATTCGAGTTATACCCCAAACGAAAACAAATCGGCTAGATGCAGCCCAATTGCATGCGCACCGATCGCGTGTTGTGCCTCCATTAACTTGCCAGCACATGGCAAACAGGCATCAGTGGTGTAGGCAGCGTAGAAATTGGGGTAATCGTCGATGGGCGCGTGTAATGTTCTCAGATGAGTGTCCAGTTTTACTCTGGATTTCAACGATAGGCGTGCTCGCGTTTGGAGGCGTGTAAATGAGCGTCATGCTAACGTTAACGTCCGACAGTATGACGGATTCAGGTGTGGTTCTGTTACGGTGTGGGGAGGAATCCCCATGACTGGCAGAACGAACTTGCATATTGTTCAAGGAAGGGTCACTGGTGTGTACTACCGTGACGACATCCTGGCAACGATAGTTTTGCCCTTTGCTCAACGTGCAGGTCGACGTTTCATCTTTCAAGATGATAATGCCCGTTCCCTACCTCCAGCGTCACCATATTGTCCATATGCCTTGGCCAGCCATGAGTCCTGACCTTTCCCCTATAGAGCATGTCTGGGACATGATCAGGAGATGTGTTCGTCGACGTCAACGTCCACCGACAACACTGCAAGAATTGGCTGTGGCACTCAAGAGGAGTGGGTCAGATTGCCCCAAATCGTGATTGTACGGTTGATGAGGAACATGCCACGACGAATTGCTGAATATCTGAGGATTGGTGGAGCAATTACTCATTATTAAGACAAAAATCAAAAACGTCCATTTTCACTTTTGACAGTGTATCCCTTTGCGAGTGAAATGGGGCCGTCAGATAAGCCGCCCATATGAATTGTTTATGTTCATGTGTAGGCAATTGGCCTGTTATTAACATACACTGGTTACCTAATAAACACCACAGTGCATTTCGACAGGTTTGTATTGCTTCTGAATATCCCCTCTTTTTTTTGAAGAGTATAGTACAATAACTGAAATGAAAGTAGAAATCTCGCGAGACACTTGAAATTAAAGAGATGTAAACATGCCAGATCTCATAGTCTGATGTCGGAGAAAAGATTCTATTTTGATGGCATATTCTCAGATTTATGTTCATATTTTGAATGGGGTTTATGTTTTTAAATAAATAAATAAACACGCTAAGAAATGTTGACGAATATTTTGATTGGAAAAATGTAATTAAATTTCGGGCTGTCATTTTTTTACCCTCGGTATATAAATTGAAACTGAGTATAAGACAATAGCCAGACTTCTGCTGAAAAATGTATCGACTTATGACCTGAAAAATATGGGTACAGATCAGCAGTAGTCGGCACGCTTTCATTCTATGGTATTACGATGTCACATAATTTTGTACGGGAATTAAACATGAAAAATAACGAGGTGCACCTATTTATTATTACGTATGAATTTGAATATTCTGTTGACACATGATTCTTAATTGTGGTTTGAAAACACCTGCTTCAATAATGATAAGAGTTATGCCCCTTTATTTTTTAAATCCCATCACTGTTATGAATATCTGTATTTACTGTTAAATATTTCAGAGACATATGAATTCACCAGTAGTTATGACTGATATAGATCATGATAGTGGAACGTTATTACCTTATTACGATCCAGATTTAAATATAGTTTACCTAGCAGGGAAGGTAAGGAAATACTGTTGAAAATAAATGTTCTTTATAGATCTATATTTTATTATATTTCTTAAAAATCATATTAAATTAAACATGCTTACTAAATAGGCCCTTGTCTGAATAATTAAAATACTGCATACATTTTCTTAATGTAATTATGTCTTTATGTAGATGTCTTTATTAATAATGTGCCAGTATTATATTATTACACAAAAGATTAAAATGACTAACTCTTGTGATTTTGGTATCTAGGTTAGGCCAGATTTGGTCAACATTTTGGCTCATTTTCTGTGATGCAGACTATAATTTATCTTTTTTGCCCACCACCTTCCAAAAATTCAGGGGACTACTAAAATGGATTCATCTGTCTTTCTTGATTTCTTGACTGTCAAAATTATTAGGACACAATAACTTTCTTTCCAACTGATAGGTAGAACGTTTAAAGATACATTATGGGAGATTAGATAAAGAGCTGACAGTTCTCGCTATAATAGTTAAAAACTAGATAATGTAAAGGTAATTTGTTGAAAATTTCAGTCAAATTAGTCCACTATGAACCGAGATATCAGCTTTGTAAATTTCCGCCTAGCCTCGTTCATCATTACTAAAGTTAGTACGTTAAAAAGCATAGTCTCGATTATCCATTGTTTTGATTTAATTATCAATGAGCGTTTGCAGCATATAGGGTTCTAATCCAGTCCATATCGATTGATAGCCTTGACATCGAGAGTTGATTATGGTCTGGATAAGTTAATTAATGTCTAATTAATAATTTAGATAAGATTTCAGGCCTAAAGAAAGACCTGCGATAGGCAGATTTAGCTCTTGCATAATGCATGTTTAAACTTGGCGCATGTGTTCATTTGGTGAATAATCAAGGAATGTTTTTCACCTATTTAATTTTATTCCTAAATTGTTAATTATAACCTTTATAGCTCTCTCCGATATTGGGGATCACGTGGCTAAGTGGGTAAGACGCTAGCTCGCTAGCCTGGAGGTCGGGTGTTCGATCCCTGCATTGGCCGAGAAAGTTCATCCAGATTTTCCGGCGTGGTTTCCCCTTGTCAGTGATGCAGGACGGAGGGCCTGACAAGGAAAGCTGTCTAGTCGTTCGGATGGGACGAAAAACCGAGGTCCCGTGTACACATTGGCGTGCACGTAAAAGATCCCTTGGCAGTTGGAATTCGATATAAGAGTAGGCCGTAGTGCCGCTGTCCGGGCAAAATTTCCCTCATAGCACACTGTATGGCGTATGCCCGTCTTCATTAGCCCAGGTTAGGAGCAGAACAGTAGGACGTTAAACTCCATTTCATTTCATTTCATTTCTCTCCGATATTCTAACCCTTTTTTTTGAGCTCTGACCTAATACTTCCACTGTCTGAAGACCTGTCGCACCATTTACATTGCGTATTTCTTGTACTCAATCCTAGATTTTTTGTTTTTTTAAAAAAAACAACAACTTATGCCCTAACTTTGTATTTAATACCATCATATGGTTTTCTGACACTATCTACTAGTCTTGGTTTTTGCCTCATTTCTATTAACTGAATAGAGATAACTGTTTTCTTCAATGTGCTAACATTGAGTTATATTGTAAACACAAAGCCGATCAGGACATACGGTACTTTAATACAATATATGGGAGAGATTCTTAGTTTCCATGGGTTTTCTACCTTGTTGTGAGTTGATTTCCATTTTGGGTGAACTTAGAAAGAAGAGAAACACTTAAAATGGCATATATTGGATAGTTTAGTATATATATAACACCCTAATCCTCCCTGTTTTGTGTTCGGAAGTGAAATTATAGTTGAGCCATTCTCCAGTTGTTATCTTAACACCATCTGAATGTTTTCATTGTGCTTGAAATTTGACTTTAGAAATGAATTTATATACTTATTTGCAGGGAAATGGTAATATTAGATATTATGAAGTAGCTTCTGAAGAGCCTTATGTTCATTTCCTTAATGCCTATCAATCATCATCTCCACAGAGAGGATTAGGTAAGTAAATTCTATGACCAAGATTCACATTGGTGCACAAAATATGTAATCCCATGTAGTTCTGTTGTCATGACACGAGGCGTAGAAGAATCGGAAGTTTGACATAATTTGTTGGGTATAAATAATGAAATGTGAAAAAAAACCAGCCTCATATATGAAAAATATTATGGACTCTCTGAATAATATTTTTTACACCTTGATTTCTTAATAGGTATGATGCCAAAGCGAGGCTGTGATGTCACAAAATGTGAAGTTTTAAGGTTTTATAAATTACATGCAGGGAAAAACTTAATAGAACCGATCTCAATGATATGCCCTAGAAAAGTAGGTATTTTTACATATCTTCAAGTGTTTCTGCCATTTGTAAATATTCTGACAAAGATTTGTGAAATTGACTTTTCTTATAGTCCAATATATGGAACAATGTTAACAAAATATGTATGGTTTGTGGATTTAAATTAATGTAATGCTGTACACTTTCATTAACTGACTGATAATTTCACAAAACCTTTATGTACTAAATGTATTATTTATAGTCTGATAAATTCCAAGAAGATATTTACCCTCCAACACGAGGCACCATTCCATCATTAGGGCCAGATGAATGGATTGCTGGCCAGAACCGAGACCCTATATTAGTGTCTGTAGCTGTAAGTAAGAATTATATTTTTCAATTTATTCAGGTTTAAATCTGTGTCAGATGAGTCATTGACTGACTCTATGCATGAAAATGGCGCACTAAAGCAGCATGAATAAGCATGTGCATGAGTTTTAGGTGAGCATATCTTGATGTTAGAGTGAACATTTTACAGATGTACAGACAGATAAACTCTCTTACTATCATATACATGATATGTATTATACAAATATTTCAATCGCCATGAAAACAAACAATTTTTATGTATCAGATTGAAGCCATTCCCCCCAAAATTATTCTTATTCTCAGACAATCCTTCCAAAAAATCTTGATGCCAGAGCAAGGTTTTATATTTGTGTTTTTATTTTATCAGAGAAGTCTTCTACATTTATCTCATAATAAGTTTAATCATGTAAATTACATATCTAAATTTAACTGTACGCTACGCTGAATTCAAGTTTATTTGCTTGCGATGACTAATGGTCATTTTTGTCTACAGCCGAAAGCACAGATTTTGTAGTTCTAGTGTAAAAAATGCTGCTGTTGCCATCTCTCATCTCCATGGAACATAATTTCAGTCATTTCTTTCTCATTACTTGATGTAATAGATGGCAGGATATTATCTTCCATGAAAGAATGGACTTAAACAAATCGATGGTCAATTTATTATTTTCCAGTAGCATTTATGATTTTCAATAACATTTATCAAGGTTTATATTTGATAATCGATTTTATGGTACATTTCTGGTTTCAACAAGAATTGTATAGTGGAATTATTTCCCTTTGAAATGAAATTAAATGGGTTTAATGTCCTATTTTACACCGACTGGGCTAATGAAGACAGGTAGTTCCCCCTTGTACAATCTGATTAAAACACAGATCCTATTTCGCTCCGCTTTTTCATAGTTCAAAATTTCGTTTTACTTGTCTTGACTACACTAGGATCTGGAAGAGTTGTTATCATTGATGTATTCTGGATGATGTGAGGGATTAGCCAATGAAAAGGTCTGTTACGGCGAGCTTTTGGCATGAGGTGCTCAAAACTGTGGGTAATCCACTAGAAATATCAATGCTGATTGGTTAATCAAATGTCTGATGTCATAGGGTCAAAAGCTGCTCGTATGACCTCTGACGCGACCTCCCAAAACAACTGGTCAGATCTCCATGTAGTGTAGGCCATCGAAAGTATAAAAAACGAAATGAAAGATAGATCTGTATTTCCATTAGATTGCACCTTGTATTGACCCGCCAGGAAGTATGAATGAGCGGTAATCATAAAAAAAACCTTTTCAAGTCATGAGAACCAGAATACTATTTTATATGGCCTTAAGTATTTTATTTATCCTCCATTATCAACTTATTTTTAATTTGAATCCCTATGTTACATTACATCTTCACATCATGTTGACACTGTTTTAGTATTTTGATTTTACATAGATTAGTTATTTAGTTCTGCTTTTTTGATCATTTTCTGTACATATTTTTTCTGATATTTTCTTTCTTCATGTAGAATGATCATTTCAATATCTTTTGCTTATAAGCTTCTAATTGTTTTGCTGTAAGTCTCTTCACCTATGGCATTTGGTTGATCAAAAATATCTTTTACATTTAATTGTAATAACACAATTCCCCAAACCTGTCATGTTCTCAAATTTTGTACTGTATGCTTGTATGTTAAAATACATCAGATAACTTGAATGAATTTGACAATACGGATATTTTTGCATGTGTACATATTACAGTACTAATAAGTGTCAACCACTTTTTGCTACATGACTTTTGTAATTAATCCTGTGTTCATATTGTTGCTTGTCTGGCGAACTGACGAATCTGAAATATTTAAGTATGGAGAATTATGCGTTAGCAATTTGCGTTCTGTTGTTATCTCTGTAGCCATCAAATATTAACATTTATTTATGATTTAATATTTCATACATATACATCAGGACACGGTACGTCATTTACATAAACGTTATTATTTGATGGACATAGAGATAACAACAGAGCGCAAATTTCAAACTCATAATTTTCAATACTTAAATATTTCAGATTCGTCGGTTAGCCAGACAAGCGACGCATATTTATGGTAATTACGAGGTTCTGACTTGAAAATAGCAGAGAAGTTGTGTTTGAAATCATACTATCTACATGGAATCTTAAAAATTATCTAATACTAAAATTCAATCATTAATTCCAAGCCAGAACTCGTAATTAATATAAATACTTCATGAACTAAATGCTGTGTTAAGTTGCTCTGATCTGTAATGTGATGTCTAACAAGCGTGTCTGTCTGTACCCGTGTCTTTTTATAGAATGAATCTAAACTTGTAAATTTTTTCTTCTCTGGATGTTTTTTAATCACATGTTATCGTGTTTACTAAACTCAATTTATTTAATAATTCTTGTATCTACCAAATATATTCATAATTTAGGTTATTTATTTTTATACGCCCACATTGAAATGTGGTTGTATATTGTCGTCGCCCCCGTCCGTCCGTCCACAATTGCTTGTGGACGCTCTAGAGGATAAAGTTAATATCCGATTGACTTTAAATTAATACACAGTGTTTAAGGTCATGAGGCAAAGAAGCCTATTGATTTTCAGCCATTTCCGATAATTACTGCCAGAGTTATGGCCCTTGATCACTTTGAAAAATCTTGTGGACACTCTAGAGGCTAAAGTTAATATCCGATTGACTTTAAATTTACACACAGTGTTTAAGGTCATGAGACAAAGAAGTCTATTTATTTTCAGTGATTTTCGATAATTACTGCCAGAGTTATGGCCCTTGATAATTTCACAAAATCTTGTAAATGCTCTAGAGGCTAAAGTTAATATCCGATTGACTTTAAATTTATACACAGTGTTTGAGGTCATGAGACGAAGAATCATATTGATTTTCAAAAATTTCCGATGATTACTGCCAAAGTTATGGCCCTTGATCACTTTGAAAAATCATGTGATCTAGAGGTTTATGTTATCATCTGATTGACTTCAGATTGATACACAGAGTTTAAGGTCTTGAGACGAACAAGTATATTGATTTTCAATGAATTTTGATAACTTGAACAGCTAATTCCATGATATTAAATATTTTGTATACTAAACGTTAACATGGGGCAGAAATTTAAAAAAACCAAACAAATTCTAATGATTTTCTGATAATTACTTAATGAGTTGTTACTCTTAATCAGATTTTAGTGTATTATAAATATTACATTACTGAAAAAGTAAAAATATGCGACGCTTATGTCTCCCTTGCAATGCGACCGTGAGCAATTGGAAATGCTGACTGCTTATGTCATTTAGTTGCAAGTACATGTAACTACTAGCAGCTGAAAAGTTAGCGGGCAATCATAACTGACTGAGCTGCCACCAAACTATGGTCAAAGGAACCACATGACGACCATATGATTACCGTAGTACAAAAAGGCAACATTATCGTCTAAGGTTAGCAATAAATGCCATTAAAGCTGGTTCCGCTATTGCATGGTATTATTTTTTCTTTGAATACAAATACATAATTGTTGTCCTGTCCAAACACTCTTCGATAGCATCATGGAGATCTGGGGAAAACTACGAAATACACTGAATGCCTAAACTCCATTTCAAAACTGCTAATGTCACTGCAACTAGTTGCAACTGTTTGCAGGAAAGTAGAACATGTGCATCTAACTGCAACTGGCTCTTCATTCCCAGACATAACAGATCTCAAGTCTGCTTATGTCGCCTTTTGTAATCAACTCTCAGTTGGATCCAGTTGCACCAAACCCAATCACACATAGTCACATTGCAGCACAAGGGCAACATAATCCCCACACCATTACAAGATTTCATCATAATTATTAACCTATGCTGAACAAAGGTCAGGAAAGGGATGTTGAAATGATTTTATTCTCAATAATTATAATTGGGGTCTTTTTATCTCCAAATTATATAAATTTCTGTTGCAAACCAAGACAATAATGTTCCTTATATCTTCGAAACATAGATAAAACATATGATGTCATAGACTATATGACTTCTTGTTCCTATTGTGGTGGTGATTATAAAATCGGCAGAGGTTGCACAATTATTTTTTATGGATTTAGATAAAAATATGTGTATTAGTTCCCAAGTCTAGATTGAATGTTAAAGATACATTATGGGAAATTAGATAAAGAGCTTGCAGTTTTCACTATAATAGTTAAAAACTAGATAGTGTAAAGGGAATCTGCTGAAAATTTCAGTTACCTAAATTGATCCACTCTGAAACGAGAATTTAGCAATTGAATTTTTGGCCTAGCCTTGATCATTATTACTAAAGTCAGTCCGATAAAAAAAACATAGTCTCGATTATCCATTTCATGAATAAATCATGAATGAAAGTTGAGCAGCAAATCGGATCCTAATCCAGTAAATATCGCAGGCTAGCGATGACATGGTTGATAATGGTCTGGATAAGTTAATTAATGTCTAATTAATAATTTAGATAACATTTCAGGCCTAAAGAAAGATCTGCAATAGGCAGATTTAGCTCTTGCATAATGTATGTTAAATCGATTATTATTCCTAAATCATTCACCAAATCATACCCAATGGACTTCTAGTGAGAGGTGCATTAGTTTACACTCAACTGAATCCTTTTCTATATAAAATAACTTTTATTAAAGTTTTTGAAGTGGTTGCTTTGAGAATTACTGATATAATGAGATGTAAAAGGGTTTTTGGTCAACTTTGTGTGTTGCACGTCGTGCGTTTGACTCGTTATGTTTTTCTCTTTTTGGTTTTTCTACCCAGGATGGCCATGTTTTAAATACACCTAATATAACCGCATCTAAAGCTGTTCAAAAACAGGTAACTGGTTTTTGTCTTTAAAAATATATAGTGGGTAAATTTATACATACATTTAAATGTCATTAGCAATATTATTTCCTTTATTTGCTAAATAAATTGTGTTGCATTACAAATGTGTACAATGAACTTTCTAATTATTTAAAAAGTGAATCCAGAAATTTGTTGTAATTCATCAGTCGTGGAATATTGGGACAAATATTTAATTAACATAATATGCACTTTTTTTGGACTTTATTGAAAAATTGCATAATTGATATTAATATAATAGGAGTTTATAGGTTATATCTGTCAATTCCTTATAATAATTTTAACCCCTTAAGTGAAACAGCTATTAACTTTATTTTAAATGGTGTAAGGCTTAATTCTGTTGGTGCTTCTTAGTTTGGTTTATTTGGGTTTCTTCATTTGCATGACTATTTTCATTTAGTTTCTTAGATTCCTCTTATCATTTCTGTTTACTATAAATTATTCTTAACAGTTTTTGGTTTCTGACATCATATAACATTACCATACATGCCGTACTAACAAGTACTTAGATGCTGTAGCATTGTAGAAGTATATTTTAGAAACATGTGCTTATCACCGAGAGTTATTTATTATTTTAAGCAGCATTGACTAAAAATCACCAGAAACATATCTAGACACATAACCATTATCATTCTTATAATGTAGCTAGAACTAGCTAGTTTGGCTAACACATTAGCATTTTCAATGTCATTATTTTCATCCTTTTTCTCAAAAATTGCTCATAAAGGGTTGTTTTTTGGAAGAGTATTGACAAATAAACAGATATATCGAATTGCATGATTTTATAATATGCATGAATGGATAGGAATATTAAAGGATCAACTTTTGACAAGACAAGAGAAATGTCTGGAAATTTTTGACCATTTGTTAGTCCTGTTCATTTATACTTGTAGCCTAATATTTGCCACTATTACAGGAAGGTGCTTTAAATCGTGCTCCAACAATTACAACGTATAAAGCTGTTAATAAACAGAATCTTGAGAATATACGTGGTGGACCACGACGTGCCAATACCATCGCAACTGAAACAGTTATCAATAATAACAATCATGAAGAACCAGCATCACTGCAAAATATAAAAAGACTCAGTACCAATGAAGATTTTGTCTCTATTAAGTAAGTTGATGTTGTTACTAAAGGGATAGAAACCTGAAGAATTTACCCAATTGTGTATATTTGACATGTAAATCTTTAAAAACATTTTTTTTTTTTACAAATTAGATCCTTTATCAAGATATATATATATATCACATTCTTTTCCTCTCTTTTCTATATTCTCTACTCTTGAGCAATTAGAGAACTTTTTTTTGTTGCACACTTTATTTACCAAATCTATCATGTTGTCTAAACTGGGAGTGCTTATATAAGAAAGCGATATATGACTTTGCAAGTTAAAGAGAGTTTTTTTCAACTCACCAGCCAAATATATAAACCAATGACTTCTATTATTTTGGTTCAAATGTTTTTGTGTGAATTGAATTACTTTTTGTGATCCTAAATCATAAAGAAACTATTTACTGCAGACCTATGGATTCTCAGCGAATACAACAAAGAGATAGATACCCGACATCACAAAAACAACATAGAGGACCGGAGACTGTGAGGTTGTTACAGTTTCTCTAATGCTAGATAGCATGGCCTGTATTAAATGTTTAGGTTGTACAACCACCATGTCATATAAGTGTCTAGTTATTGCATGAAAATTATTCTCAAGATTAAGTTCATATTCTAATGATCTTGATAGAAAAACATGAAGTAAACCAATTAACATCTTACTTACAAATTTTGTTAACTGGTTAAAACTTAGAATAGAATACAGCCTCTTATTGTTTAACATAATGTAATATATTGCTACCTCCGGCATCAGTGTGGATCACTTCATCCCGTACATGTAGTTTATGAAGCCCCAGCAATTCTTTAGTTTCCTATTTCAGTAAAAGATTCACAGCTTATTTCCCATTTATTCACCATTGGTTATTAATGTTTTTCAATATGCCCTCCACACTTTCCACAAAATAGTACTGAATATATTACACAAGCTCTACCATTGTTTATAGCTAGTATAGGAAGGGAAATAACTCTTGCATTGAGTGACTACCCATTCATCTAATTATGATCCATGGTATTTTAGTTGTTGTATTAACATGTTAACCTAGTATTACCCCACCTTTTATTTAGACATACGTATGTTCCCTTGGAAACCTTGGTATGTGATATAACATCAGATCTGGATGATAATCTACCAGATAATCTATATGATAATGATCAAGATATTACAGCTTGGCAGGAAGATACATTAAGGTTTGACAAACATGCGTGTCGCATGGCATGGTGTGACATATATTTACACAATACGATAGATAATGAATAAATTATGAAGACGACACATTTATCAAAAAGGTTTCAGATTTGTAATCCAATTGATCATTGAAATATAGATATTAAAATTTTCCATCAGGAATATATATCGAAGGTGTCATATTTTTTTAAGAAAAACTAGCTTCAGTAAAGATGAACTTCTCTTAATATTATCCATAAATTAAACCAATTAATGTGAAGGAAGGATATTTTTTATCATGTTTAGTTGAAATATTGTAGTGAGTGAGAGTGATATCCCATTTTCCTTTATTTAGCGATCATGACTTGCGTCTGGATGAGTTTGATTTACAATTCAATCCACCGGTATATGCCTCTAGTTCCATGCCGTACATGGCACCAGCAGAATCCAGGCCTCAAAGGTTTGAAAAATTGTTGCATGGTGTTGAAAAACAATTGAGTTTAAAGTGTTTTCATTGATGTAGTCTTGAGAAATCATGTTTTACAAAATGTAAAAGTCAGTTTTCGTTAATGGTTATCAGATATTTTTAAAGAAAATGATATTAACATTATTTTCAAGTACATTATAAATAATATGTGCTTTGCAAACCTAGCTTTGCTTTGTAAAAAAATCCAGTCTGCAATTGTAGAATGCTACAATGCTTGATAAAGGAAACACAAATTTACCAAACTTGGCAGTTTTCACATTTACAGAAAGTGTTGTAATAATATGCAGCTTGCACGATGCAGTGTATACATATCCTTTTCTGATACCAATTTTCATTGGGCTGCACTGTTTAGAAAGCTGACAGAGTTCTGTTTTTCTTGATATTATATTGCATTTGGTACTATGCTTACTATTATTGTTTTTAATTAGTAACTGTAAGGACCTTGATAGTAACCATGAGTTACTGTTATAAGGATATTTCCATTTTGTTATTGCCTTTTATTTAGCTTGTTGTACACTGTTTTGACAAATTTTAACATTATTGCACTTCATTGGAACAAATATTGCCCTGCATTGCGTTGCTATAGAAATTGGAACATTTCAAGATATTTGTTGACTTATTTTGAGTGATGTTTTATATTTGTTAATGCTTTAATTTGTTTATTTTTATGTTGATTTCAATACCCCATTTTATGTGTATAAGAGAATTTAGAAAACTTATCAGAATAATTATGATTATATAGAAATTATAATTTTTAGATGGCATTTAGTAACTGGATAGAGTAAAAACAAAAATACATACTTGTAGAAATTATTTACACAAATATAAATTCATAAAATTTTACTTTTTTACAGGAAATTTGATAAAATTGATTGAATTTAATACTTTTAGTTGGTTTTTTTTTACAGATGTTAAACTATAGTTTTTAGATTGTAATCCTTTTATCCTATTTAATATGCCTTGAATAATGAATGTACACTTTTCCCTCAGATCCTATCAACAACAACCAGACTCCCCTAAATCTATTGAACCAGAAGTCGAACAGCCATCAGCTTTCTTAAAAATGAAAGAAACTGTAAAAAGGTTTAGTATTGTCTTGAATAAAAAAATCCCCCAAAACATGGTTTTATCATTTGTAATAAAAATGAAAATCTGTCCTTTTCCTAAATCTAACCACCAACTATCCTTACCTTTGAAACAGATTTCCAACAGTAAATGTAGAAAAGTGGTAGATATAAATTGATCCATTAGACCAGGGCCAAAATGCACTTTGTAAGCTAACATATATACATATACAGTTTCATAATGACTGATGTTGAAAAATGTATATGTAGAAAAACCAGTTTGAACCAGAGAATTAACGTCTGCTCTCTATGTGACATTACAGGAATTTGGAAATGAAACCCATAGAAACAACCCATGCCAGCATTTATGACAAAGAAAGGGAAAGAATAAGGTGGGCTAGTTGTGTCATGTTTATTATTATTAACATCATTGTTACTGCATGGTGATGTTGTACACAAATTTTATTGTTTTTATTCAGTTGTTTACTAAACAAATGTCATAAGTTTCTATTGTTGACGTTCATTTTTGATTGTTTTCAAAAAGAAGTTTTTGCATTTTGACAGACCGTGAATTTTTGTTCAAAGTGTTTAAATTTTGAAAAAAAGTTGTTATTATTTTGTGAAAACCTGTGATGTGAAATTTGCTTGGAATTTGATTCAGTATTGTGACAAGTACGACAGTACTGTATGGACCAGGAACATAGAATGACGTCATCTTGGAATTGTGACTTCCAAGCATGCCAAATGCCATGTCGATATTTATACATGTACTTTAATTGTCGGAGCATTGGGCTTTTTTTTACGAAACGTCACTCCCAAGAAGAAGAACAAGATGAGTCTCGCTTGACGACCAGTTCCTGGTCCAAAACCAATGTAATCTACAGATTTTGTGATGTTCAGTTGGATGATATTTAGGTCTATAACTAAGAGAATATTATTCTAAATGGTATAATTATTGGATTAATTTATCCAGTAGAGATAATCCCATTAAAAGACAGCTGGATTTCTTCTGAATGGAAAAAGCCAAAGTTTGGATGGGTTTTTGCCATGGATACATTGTTTAATGAAAATGTTAAAATTAAGGTAGCTTTTAGCATGGTGTTGATAATATAGAAGTTGGGTTGAATTTTTCATAGCTGTTCAAAATGTTGATGACATTGTTATATACGTCCCTGAAAATTAGTACTTACGTTTTAATCCTTGATATTCACTCATGTAGACCTCTTGCCCGATCATCATCTGAGGGTGGCCTTAGGAAGAGTTTCTATGAAAATGAACAAGATATAACAGCTTGGCAAGAAGACACATTAAAAAGGTTAGGGTTATTTCAGCCTTCTGTATCTTCTATCTACAATTATTGTAGCATGGCTCGGACATATATTATCAAAGCAATTATTATAAATTTTGATCTCCTGATTATTCGTATGATTTGAACAATTGAAATTTCTAAAAAATAAAGCTGGACAGTAAAGAAGCTACTATATGTGTATATGAAATTGTTAGATATCTATGAATGGTATGGAGATACAAGTGTTTAAGATTTGGTAGCCTCTAACAGAAAATGGCATATATATCAACATATATAAGCATAAATATAAAATTTAAATAGTTAGATCTGTGTAACTAACAAATGAAACGACAAATCTTTTACTAATCTGTATGTACAGATATCTACAGTACTAATCATTGAATATAAATGTATATTATAAAATGACTAAAAACACATCATATTGTAAAATATACCACTTAAATATAAAGTACATGTAGAAGTCTCAGTGAAATAATCAGGCAGTTTATTTCTACAGACCAAAGGGTTTACCACCTGTTAATATGATGAAACAAAATGTTGCCAGTACGAATATCTTACAAAGACCCACTTTAAGGTTTGATAGTTGTATTAGTGAGTGAATGCATGGTGTGTTGCATTAGAGAAATATCTAAAAAAAATCATTTTAAAAATCATCATTAATTTTGTGTTATATACATAGATTATAGATTAAAAATAGAGTATTATAAAAAAGAAATTATTTTCGTATAGATTTAGATATTATACCAGTGTAATTATATTTAAATAAAGTAATGAAAAATGGTATTAAAATATTAATGGAAGAATAAACATGTTAATTCATCATTGGAATGATATACTTTACATTAAAAAAATGTAAAAACAATTGTCGCATGCTGCGTGTACATCAGGTTAACTTTAGAAAAACAGCTTTTGTTAATTACTGACAATTAAAAAGAACTAATGCGGGGCATAAAACCAGGATATATCATCATATCAATTGCCTTTCATCAGATCCATGAAGAAACGGGTTCAAAATATACGCAAAGGTGATGCTGAAAGTTATAATCCAGAAGAAGAAAGGAATCCATCATTTTCACAAGCTAAAAGGTTTTAAATTTTTATTTATAGTAAATTTAAGTTAAGATACACTGAACAAAATCTTTTAGGTAAAAGATAAGAATTTAAGTGGAGAAATGTTTGTTACAGTTTCTTTTTTAAACCTCCTCTGTAGATCATTGATATTTTTAATGTATATTTATTGCATTAACGATTAATTAATTTATGTACAATTTGTAGATATCTACAAAAACAAGCCCAGGTTGAAAATACGCGACCTAAAAGTATGGTAGATATGGATACAAGTAAATTAGATCAAGACCTGCTAGATTTTCAACAGAGGTTTTTGTTAATAAATTATTAAAATTAGATGTGTGCATATTTTTAATTGATTAAAATTTAATCTATCATCCCATCCAATGTTATTTGGCAAATAAATGTCAAATATCCAGAGAATATTTTATTGCATGTAAAAGAGATAATGCAATTAAATACATACTAGTATGTATGTTAAGAAAAGATGAACAATATATACCTTTTGTTGACAATAACATGAAAATACCATTTTACAGATCATCGAAGCCCTTAAATGCCTTGGGACGACAGAGAAGTTTGGAAAATGATGAATTCACACACGAACAATTTAATCAAGCTAAAAGGTTAACATCTTTTGACAATTTTGTTTAAATTTTTTTAAAGCCGCTTTATACGAGAAAAACTACAGATATTGCTCTAAAATTTATAGTATTTAGAAATTATTTAAATCCAATCTATCCAATATGAATTTTAAAAATTGCATATTTGACTTCCAGGATTAATAATCAATTTTTAAAATTTAAATAATAAAACTTAAAAGAAACTGATATATAATCATTCAATCATATAGATTACTTGAACAACAAACTCAACCTGGTATACAAAGACAGACAAGTTTAGACAGAGAAGAACGAAATAAGTTGACTCGAGAACCATCTCCACCATATCCAATAAAAAGAAGGTTCACAATTTTAATAACATATTTTAAGTTTTCAAAAGGTACCATTACTTTTGCACCACAACTATTGGTGACTTGACTATAGGCCATAGTTAAATTAGGCATGGTTATTAGATTGTTCCTATTATTAAAATAGAAAAACAAATTTCAGATACTAAAAACCGATACCAATTTCATATACTATGTTTCGAAATCTATATTTTACAGAAGTTATGAATCACTACCCAAAGAAGAAACTCCTAAAAGGCTACCTAAGGCAGGCAGTACATCTCCATTTGCAAAACGCAGGGAAGTTAGGTTAGAAATCTTTTACGAATAAGTTTTATATCCTTAGCATTACTATCTAAATATTAAGACCTAAAATTAAAGCACAAACATTTCTGTTGAAAAATAATTACTGCCTGTACTTTCCTGAATATCTAACCTTTAAATTATTAGATCAAGTGAACTACCAGCTTCTACAGTAGAAAAGTTAGAAAAATCACCGTTCACCAATAGAGCTTCTTTCCCTAAATTAAAATGTGAAACTATTGTCACATCAAGGTTTGATTCTTCATTTGAAATTTTAGATAAAAACATATTGTAACTTTTATAAATAATGTCTAATGAAAAGTTAGTATTACTTTTATCACTGTTTATTAATTTTCCATTTCATAGTGAATAATTAAGTTTACCTGGTATATAGAAAAATATTTGTGGCTTTTAAATTTTAATTTCTTTTTTTTTCTTAACAGACCTTTTGTGCCTTTTGAGATGCAAACCCCACATGATAATCGAAGAGAACACACATATACTCCACCTAGGTTATTATTAAAATTTTTAAAGTATAAACTTTTCAAAAGCAGTATTTAACACAGTTGAACTTTCAGTGTTTTTATGTGACCATATCAATCTGCATCTAATGTTAAAATCTGATTAAAGTATAGTTGTACAATCTACAATTTGTTATATGAAATTCAAGATATATATTTGAATTTTTAATATTTTGCATATAAGACAATATCATTTATTTTTAACAATTTAGTTCTTGGTACATGTAAATATTGTCTACCTCATTTGAAAACAAAGTTATATGATTAATATCAGTATGTCCTTGGACAGCACAAAACCATCTGAAACTACAGTTTCCACAGATTGCTTCAAACTGCCCAAGTCTTATGAATAGGTCTCTATTGTAGAGCTCCCCACTTGTATGTGACAAGGAGTAGGGCCGCCTGTCCAACCTCATGGGTTTTCTCCAGGTCCTCCAGTTTTGCCCCACTACTAAAGACCTCTATGCGCAGCAAATTATTGAAAAAACATTGAACCATATGTTAGTACCGAAATGGCCTAGTTTGTGCCAAGTGGACGTTAATCCCCATTTCTCTCTCTCTATTAGAGGGCCATATAATAGTTCTTGTGGGCGGCACAGATATTCACACATTTGGGCAGGGTAAGGAGCATTAGTTTCAGGCGGTTCAATTTGCTAAGGGGTTAAATCAGATTAAGATGGGGTTTGATTTACTTTATTGGTTTTGATTTAGATTGCCAGAAAAAACAATTCAACCTGCTGGTATCTACCGTCAGAGTAGTTTAGATAAAGAAATCAACCAACTACCTGAGGAACAACCACCAACATTTTCTCAGGCTAGAAGGTTAATATATTTATCAATTAAACTTAACAAAAATATACTGAATAGTTAAGTATGGTATACTGAATAATTGTTTTCAATGCCTTACCCATCATGTTTAGGTATTAATACATTTAGTGATATTCAAAGTGTCTTTTTATGTTCTGTTCATTAATTAAAATTCAGTATAAATTTACAGCAAGGAAACTGGTATAATTATTTAAATATTTAAAATCTTTTGGCTACATGTACTTTCTTCATGACTATACAGAAATTTTGAATCACCTACTGAAGACTTGTCTCAAAGATTACCTAAGGCAGGAAGTTTGTCACCTTTTACTAAACGTAAAGAAATTAGGTGAGCCCTTTTGACTAGTGCAGTGACATCTTAAAACATAAAACATACAAAAAATGGTTATATGATACATGGATAGCAAAAATTTAAGAATAAAAATAATTTGTTAAAAGAGGCATTATTCATGAGCTAAATAACTGTGGTTACGATAATAAACAACCAATGCACACATCTTGTCAAAACTTCAAATATTGATAACTTTGCCCAGAATAAAGTAATTTAAATGAAATTTTCAATATATTCATTTTGCATTATCCATTTTTGAACTATTATAGCAAGAACGGCCAGTTCTTTATCTAAATATTACATAATAATCATAAAAGTTGCAATATGTTAATCTGGTTTTAACTTAATTATAATATAGATCAACACCTGTCACTGTCACTGGCTCTGGTATAAGAGAAAGGGGTGAATATGTCTCACCCTTCAGTAACAGAGCGTCTTATCCTCAAATGAATCAAGAAAATATTTCTACAAGGTAGGAATAAACAGATTGAAAATATTACAAACTGTTCCCTTATCCTTTTGATTAATGATTTTTATTCTAAAGTGTTTTCTTTATCAGTCAGATTCCTGAAAATATGTATTATAATAAGTAGTGGGTAATAAAACCACCTGCAAGAAATCGGAACATATATCTAATAACAATCAAGACAATTTAAAGGGTTGATACTGTTGATACGTCAATTACTAAAATATCAAATTTCTCACGGCTTAATACACGCTAAATATGTAATCATGTTAATTATTTAACATTTCCTAATTAAAATTATGAAAACAAAATCAAAATACCATTACCAACGCTAGATAATCTCCTAACCTGGATTCAATTGGATTTAAACTAGTCCCATCACATTTCTCCACTGCAAATTAAAGATGGCAGCGTCTTGTTATGCTCGAGGAGCATAGCTATATATAATTTCAATTTATCATAACCTTGTAAATACTGAACTTAAATGAACCATTTTTGATCTGATATTCCTATTACAAACTAGCTAAAACTTTCACAAAATTGTAGTTTGCAAGGGATTCCAATAGCTCTATATGACGCATCAAGCCATTAAATGTTGATTCACATTTGTTTTATTAGATCTTTCGAACCATTTGAGAATCAAAGTATACAAGATAAAAGGAGAAACTCGTATGATAAACAATCAAATAAAAGGTTAGCCTCAATAATTTATCATTCTAATTTAGAACATTCAAAAAGTTAGTTTGGATAAAAGAACATTTTAGAATTTAAAGAAGAAAATTATTAAAAACAATTAAGTTAGTATGTAGAATTATACTTGTTAAAAAGCATGAAATTGATTCCTTTTGTAGAGTTTTTGAATTCCCTCCTCCAAGCCCTACAGATATTGGCCACCAGCCACAATATGGCAGCATCCAACCACCTTTGTATGGTAATAAAAGGGACAGATTCAGGTTATTAGAATTAAGTTCAATTTAGGGGGGGTGGGGAGAATGTTATTTTCTTTTAAATATTAATATACTATTGTATTAAAGCATTTTGCATTAATTCCCATATGAAATTAAGAAATGGTAAGTTAAACTCTCTTATAATTAAATTTTCAGCCCACCTGTCAACAGTGTGCCACCGAATCAACCCAAACTTCACCAAGGCCAAACAGATACTTATATTAAAAAAGACAAATCAAGGTTCTATATTTTTGTCAACTTAGAGGTGCTGCATGTTGTGATATTGACATTTTTATTAATCATAGTCAAAAATCAACTTTCCTGTATGTTTGTACATAGCTTATGAAATAAAAAGATATGTGCTAGAAATAGTACACTTAAGATATTATTATTATTAGATAGAATAAAAGAAATAAAAAAAAATGACTTTGTTGTATATATATTTTTTTTTAAATGACAGTCTTTGACATTGGTTGTTCAGTGATATTACTTACTGAAATCAACAGTTAAAATGAAAAAATAGAATATCTAAATATTTGTGTTTACTTTGTTAAACAGAGGTTTTGATTATCAACCTGTTCAAAAAGTTGAACCATATCAACCACTTTCGGATAATCGTCGAAACTCGGCTGAAAGACGTGATACAAACAAAAACATAAGGTTGGATTTGTTTTTTTAATCTGCATGACTGGAACATACATAAAATGTTTTAAAAAGTTGTCTTAATTGAACTAGAGAAAGAAATAGATTAACAAGTAGAAATCATACAGTTATTTGTATACTGGTATATATAATATATTATATATTCACCAATCTATTAAAACCATGGACTACATATATATATATATATATATATATATATATATATATATATATATATATATATATATATATATATATATATATATATATATATATATGTGTGTGTGTGTGTGTGTGTGTGTGTGCCTTGATTAATAAGCTTATACATAGGAGTTAGACTGGATATTTGAATACTTTTGCCTTAGTTTTTATCCCATATCTTTGTTGTTAAGTCATGTTTTATGCATCTGTTGTATTGTTCTTATATCTGTCTGTTCTACAGATGCAAGGTCCTTACATAATAACTTACCTATGACTCTAATCTAATAAGGTGGGACAATGGTTATATCAAGCCATTTACAGGGGGTTTGGAGATCTTATGTTTGAATTCAAAAGTAGGATGCTGAAGATTCGACATAACAAAATGTTTTAAGTATGGTAGTTTTAGATTGAGTTATTTAGATTCACATAGAGCTATGTTGAAATGCTGTAAGATTTTGTTGTATTTTATCACAGAACAAGTGAAGAGCGCCATGTTAGCAAAGCTACTTTTACTATGAATGTAGGAAGGTTGGCATTACATACAGTTTAAGCTTGGTGTTATATATCATAAAGTAAACATGCATGTGTAACATAAATAATGAATTATATTCACCAGAAAGTTTCTCTTCTTTCTTCATCATCAAAGTCTATGTTTTAATTTTCATTCAGGTTGTAATATTAATTGAGCAGTAATCAATAGATCCTACTTATTCCATAAATCTATTCTAAAAGCTCTTCTTTGTACAGATTCTAAAAGCTCTTCTTTGTACAGATTGTTTTTTGACTGGCATTATAACTAACCTGTTTTTTTTTTTATGTGTTTGGTTTCTAGAAATTTAGTGAAAATTTTCCATGTTATTCCATCTTAAATATTAACGTATGTTATTACTTTTTTACAGATTTCTTTGTAAATTTGAGCATGGAGTGTGTTTTGGGGGAATGCTTTATGATAACTTTTAAATATTATTTAAATATTGATAATCAGTTATTTTTATGCAGACCAAAAGATGTGTCCGGTTCGCTAATAACAGATAGTGACATGAAAAGAACTTCCTTTCCACCAGTCTCTTCTAAAAGGTTATTAAAATTTATTAAATTAGTTTATTTTTTAATGCAGTCTGTATACAACGTTAAAAATACTCTGCTCACTGGCTGCTTATACAAAACCCTCTCTACAGGCATTGCCCTATTTTGGAATAAAATACATTAATTTGTAAATATTAACTTTTTGCTCTTACATGTTTGATAAACAGTAACACCCTCAATATAATTTAGGGTTAGTTTCAAGTACAATGAAATTTTGATACTAATTCTTTGTAATTCTTTCCTTAAGTAGATATGAACCTATGGTACCAGCACCACAGACTTATGAGAATGATGTTGATATAGCAGCATGGGAAGAAGATGCTTTAAGGTTGGACCAGATTTAATCTGTCATATTAAAACATTTGTCATGCTCTACTTCATCCATCTTCAATAGTATAGTTCATAATTTAATAATTTTAAGGTTTTTTTTTAAATTCAGAAATTATGAACCCAGAATTTCAAAAGTATCACAGGGTAGCAAACACACAGCTGATAGAAGAAGTGGAAGTGCCTCACCCAAAGTCTTTCTCCGAGAAAAATATCCTCCACCACCGCCATCACCAAGGTTCGATTATTATAATGCATGATGACTGTGAACAGTAATAACATGTGTATTTAACCCTAATAATAATTCTCTTTTTTAACCGTAAGGTGTAACCAATGAAAGAGTTAACCGGTGGGGTTACTAATGGCTGTATATGTGGGATATATTCTAGACCTAACTACATAACTGAACCACATGATATTAACCCTTTGTACCCACTGCAGTGTACATCACAATAACTAATTTTCGTTTGTTTTTTTCAGAACAAGTATAAGCATGTGATAATATTAATAAGGGATACTAATATGAGAATAAATGACAATATGGAGTTTTCATCCGTATTCATTTATTTACATGCTACCAAAATCATAATATTAATATCATAAATCATTATTTACATAATTTTGTATTATTCACTATAACCCATACAACTAATGGAGTATGTACCCAAAAATAATATTAATGTATTAAAAGTAAATACATAATTAAAAATCAAACCACTTGTTAAACCTGTATGGTTGTTAACAATTCTATTAATCTGTTATTTTTCATTTTGAGTTAACCTTTTGTTTATTTTTGTTCCTAATTTTATTTATTTGTTAGCCCTGAAGAGATAAAAATAGATCCCAGTTCTTATAGATCTGAAGGTTTAGTTCACCAAATAGCATTTCTCATGAAAAAGGACGAGGATCTTCTTATAAAAGAAAGGCAACTGAGGTTGTATTTGTTTGAAGTGTGGCATGTCTTGTACTCAACATCAGTAACCCAGATGTGTCCAAATTGCTACATTTTCATGTGTCATCCTTGGTTGCATTCCACTACATGTGTTCATTTATGTTTGTACGCCAACATATTGTATGCCTCATATTCTATTGTATGCAGAAAAGTAGGATGTTAAATTTCATTTCACAATGCAATTAGATTTTGTGATTACTGGTATTACACCTATTTGATATGATAAAAAGATTGTAACCATCAAAATCGAAAGTAGCTACCGGTTGATCTACACTCATCTGATGCCTTCATAACTGCCTTCATGTCTGTAAATCTATAATGAGTTGATATTGTTATGATTCTAATAAGTCACTTCTGACATGACACATCTGGGTTATATAGGAGAATTCAGCAATGTCCACAGTTAAAGTGCACTCTGTTCTGGGTAATAATAGTATAGTCATGAGTTTACGTGTTACACCTAAAGGATAATCTGAATGTGAATTTTAATTGATGAGCATTATATTGTTTTACTTGTTTTGTTGAGTGTTAACTATTTATCATACAGAACCAGACTAGGGAGAAAACTTAGTAATTCATCAACTGGTAATACTGAAACCAATGTGAACAAAAAATCCACATTGAATGAAGTTCAATCTAGTCCAGTTTTGAAGAATCGAAAGTTGAGGTTAGGAATGAAATGTTTATGACCACATGTTCTGTTGTGGAGGTAGTGGTTAGCATCAAATCATTGACTGGATCCCTTTCCACCGCTCACATAACTTTTTTATTTGTTTTTAAAGTGCATGTCTTGAAATGTAGTTGTATATTGGACACTTTACGTTTCTGCAAATCTTTCTTGGTAAGATTAGGCATTATTTACCTTGATATGAAGTTTTTTCCTGATACTTACAGATTCATGGCCCCTTGGTAAAATTGTATACAGATTAAAATAAGGCATACATATACCCAAACTATTTTGTATCCTCACAATTAGTGCTCCCATTTAATTGTATTAATCATGCATTATTTTTTGTATATCTTGAAACTGTCATCTGCTGCCAAGTTAAGCCCAGATGGTAATTTGTTTTCACATTGACAAATAAAGTTCATTATTTGTGTCCCTCAATCCAAAATCTGAAAACAACCTGATAAGGTATAAAATCTGATTATTTATTGATAAATACAAATAAATGTCTAGAAAACCTCACAAATATAACATTAGTATTATAATAAGTACAATAATTATATTCCCTGATAATCATTATGTGGGGCTAAATTAGAGGGTGCCCAATTCTGTTAAGTAGAAACCAATGGCAGTATGGAATGACTAGCCCAACATGAGGAATATGACCATCAGCTGCTACAAAGTTGTCTAAGATGTTGAACTTCGGTCTGTGAACATGCTTTTTTCGAAAATTGTCTTAATTAGCATTTTGTTGAGCAAAGATAGCACACAAATTAAATTTTATAGTGACACCTTGTGGCAAATGATAATGCAGATTTAGTTCGCATCATTTACCCAAACTTTAATCTGAACCTTTCTGAGAAATTGAATTATTTGCGCATTACCGGTATTTCTAGAATAATAATTCAATGTAAACACAACCTTAGTTCTCTAACATTGGAACTCAATGTGTCCTTAACATAGTGATATGGGCAAAACTATCATATTTGAATTATTTAGTTTGTGATGCATTCAGAGTTATGCCCCATTGGTCATTTTAAAAAATTTGAGATTTCCTATGTTATTAGTTCTAGATATTTTTTTATATAACCTAATCTGCATGGAATTTACATTAAGTTTTATATTTTGGGGTAATTCATCATATTAGTACTGGTACATGTATGTTGATTTGTTGTTGTAGGGGAAGTTATGTAGTTTAGTATTTATGGCTGGATTTGGTTAACTTGCCTGTCCATGTCTGTTCAAATTCTGTGGATTCTGAATGTTATTTTTGATGCACTTTACATGATTTCTTTTTAACAGAGGATTGTATGATGATGATGGTATTCATGATATTAGTTTTGTAAGGAATGGTGATAGTGCTGTGTTGCGTGTGGTTAAAGTTGAAGATAAAGAGAGGTAGTGTGTGAGAGTGTGCTGTGTCCATTTAGACAGAAGCATGTTATTAGATGTATAGTCATTTTGTATCACACTCCAGGTTTAAGAAAAACGAAAAAACAAAACTACCGGTATTAATTTGGTAGTACATCATTGATTACTGCAAACTATTAATTTGAGAGTAGCAGAGTAATTGATTACTTGGGAATTTTGTTACATTTCTATAGTACCAGAATATTTTTGAAGGTCTAGCTAGTATGATACATTGTTTGCTTTTCAAAGTCTTTGAAACTTTAATAAGTGTCATATTTAGATAAACTCTTCCTTTTACTTTTACTAACTTTTCTATATTTTCTGTACAATTATTAACACACAGTTCCCATGTATTAACCCCTGATCAGTACTTTGAACCTGTTCAACATGATTCAGATGAAGACAGCCTTACAGAAACTATCCACGATGAAAATAACAGGTTAAATATTGGTGCATTTACACACATAGCATGGTGTGACATGTTCAGAGGGTTAATTCACCTGTTTATATGTAAATTTATCACAGTTTATAATGTATATATAGTTGATTGTCTTGGAGTGTATTTGTGTTACAACCATTGTCCAGTACCATTTGGAACTGACAGTCATCTAATTTATTGAAAATCACAAACAAACAAGATCTTTGATGTAATTATTCATTTCTGTCTGCTCAACACACCATTTCCGCCATATTAAAAGAGAAGCTGTCACTTCTATTTCCCATTCTTAGATTTAGAATTCATGTAGTTAGTGAAAGGCAAACATATTTATAATTTACTGTACATATTTTGCTGTGGTTATTTGTTGTTATATGTGTAGTAGTATTGATATTAAAGCTGACTGGCTGAGAATTGTAGTCTCAAATTTCAGTATTTTTCGTACAAAACTTTATACACAATATGAAAATTGTTTTACCAAGATTTTGTATCCGCTTAATAGAGTTTATGTATATATTTGGACAGCTTTATTGTATAGAAAGGTAAGTCGTTAGATGTTTTACCTTGATGATATATAATATGTACTTTTAATGTCCTTACAGTGAAGTGGCAGATTTTAGCGAACGAAAGGCCATGTTTGAAACTACTACACCATCCCCTGTAAATGAGTCTCCAGCTCCCCAACGTGTAGAAAAGAGGGTTTGGTCTCCAACATCACCTATCTACAAGGATCCATCAACTAATGGAATATTTGCTTCTGATTCAGATGTAAGCAGTAATTACATGTTATTTAAATGTTTCGTTTATAAATTAACAATAATTTGTCCTGGTATGTCGGTAGAGCTTATATTTTGTTGCCTTTTATTAATTTGCTTGTAGCAATTTTTATTAGCATGTCACTAAAAACTAGTAAATTGTCAGCAATTTTGTTTGTTTATCTTCTAATTATTCTAATTAGTGAATATAAAAAAAATGTAAACATATTATTACTTTGGCACCTGGTGTAAAAGAATTAGAATTCTTTAGATCTTTCTGTTCAGTAGGATGGTAATTTCTGGGCTAGATTGATTTATTTATTTATTTATTTATTTATTTATTTATTTATTTATTTATTTATTTATTTATTTATTTATTTATTTATTTATTTATTTATTTATTTATTTTATTTTATTTTATTTTATTTATTTTTAATGAACAAAAAAAAAAAAAACTCTCGTTTCATCTGGTTGTAATTTTCATCCGCTTCACATCTGCTTGTAGAAAGAGTTATCTCCCATTATCTCCACTGCTGTGTTCAGGCCTTCTAATGGCACCATTGATGTTAGTCAAGAATCTCCTAGGAATCGAAGGCCTCGTTCTGAAATACTTACATCAGGGTATTCTAATCGAAATCTTGCTAAATTAGTTATTGGAGAGCCCAACATTCAACCCACGCATGTAAGTTGTTTTTGGGAAACATACAGGTGGTATAAGAATCAGATGACAAAAATGCAATCTATATATATATATATATATTAATATCAAAATATTGGAAATCTATCAAATTTATCCACTGAAAAATGATTAGCCATACTTGCTTTCTATATTAAAGTTTGTAATGGTCTTTATCAATACATATATAATCTCACCTTACTTCATAGAAATTTAGATTAGTTGATAGGTGTATTAATCTTTAATCTGTAGTATAACGCAATTGAAAGGATTGTTGTATTATGGCAGTTAGTTGTATTTGTAGGGGGCGGTGCAGTGCTTTGTGAAAACAATTTGTTAAATTATTCAACCAAGTTTTTTTTTAACAAATATATTTTTAGGATTTTTTTAGAAAATGAAAACTACATAAGATTTTAGGCTCACTGTATATAAATAAGAAATGTTTAGGTCACATACCCAAAATGGATGATCCTTGTTTAATTAATCAATACATTATTTGATCATAGCATGAGCCAATGATGGAATAAACAGGATATACAGTTATTATAATAGCATGTAAAGCAATCATATAATCATCTTGCACTGATAACGCATTTTGTCATCTGTTTTAACTTGATACATTTAATATTTCTTGATTTGTTTATTGTATGAAATATTTTATATAATTATCTTTTGATAATACCATAATAATTTCTAGCATTAATACTACAAGCTAAGAATGTTTAATACTAAATTCTACTTTTTTGATAGTAGAAAATTCTACTAGTTACATTAGCATTAAATGTACATCTTTATTTCACAGCTTGTTTATTTTGCTTTAATCACTCTATCACGCTCTCCACTCTTTCTCTTTGCTTATAGAAAATCCATGTCCGTAAAATGTGGCAACAGCCGCAACATGGAGAAGATTATAGTCATCGTAATGCTCCTAATACTGATGCTGAGGTATGTATAGAATATAGGAGTTATTAGTAAAGATACTAATAGACTCTGACACTCACACATAAAATGTAATAATATTTTCAGTGCGTTTTTTTTTAGTACATATCAGAGTTCTTTACGTACAATTCAGGGTGTAAATTTGTAGGCATTGATCATTGGATTAACATAGAAGCCTATTGAAAATCTGAAATTTCCAGTAACTTGATAAAAAATTTCATTGGGGCATGACTGCTATCAAAATTCCAAAATTATTCAATCAAAAAAGATGGAGTAAGCTCCCAGTTAATATTTTAACTTTTAAAACTTGTTACTGATGATACAAGACAAGTTTTGACAGATATAGAGTGTGGTGGTTATGTTCATCAATTAAGTAATTATAAGTTCCACAATCAAAATTTACATATTGAATTGGTGAGTTACGTCTCTGTTTACGTTTTAAAGCTTTCTGATTGCCATATCTGAAAGAGTTGGATTCTGTTTTAGATCTTAATGTATCAAAATAACTATATTTTCCAAATCTTATGGATAGCACAGAAATCTGCAGTTTGTCAATTAAAATAGGGGATGCTTGACAGACCTCCAGGTAAACTAATACTGATCTCATTCAGTGTGTAATGAAATGTTATAACTGGAACATTAATGACATACGGTATTTATATATTTCTCTTATGAATTCAGCATGTAGCAAGTATGATTTATGACAATATTATTTCTCTTTCCAAGGCAAACATTTCTTTAAGCACAAGTATTTTTTTTTTCCTTTCAGTTAAAGAAAGCTTACTTTAGACAACAAGATGAAATCCGTCAGCTACAAGAACAAATCACATTAAAAGATAAACGAATACGCCAGTTAGAAGAGGAAGTGCGTGGAATACGCGAGACATCGTGTGGACCAGGGGAAAGTAACTGTTGATTAGATCTAAGATAATTTAATGTACTTCATTTCTCCATCCCACCCAGTAAACATTCTGTATCCACTGAAATATAAACATTCTGTATCTAAAAGTTGTTATTATATTATAGTGCTACAATTATTAATTAATTCTCATGTTCGGTGTATTACAAGATTGGAAAGAAATTTATTTTTGAAAACCATTATAAACTTCAACAATTATATGAAAATAGATTTTTCACTGATTTTGGAAAAGTTGGTTTTATACAAAGATCTGATGAATTTCTTTGCTGTTATATTATTTCTTATAACCCTGCCTGATCGATTAGATATATATATTGGTGCTCAATGAAGTAATAATCTTAATTTAATTTTTAATGTGACACATTCATTACCATATATTATGCAAAATCATTATTGTTCATTTGTTTTTGGTTTTATTCATGTTTCAGTTTTTATTTTATAGAATTATATTATGCTTTTAAAGTTATATGTATTGTAGATATTGATATATACTTCACACCAGTGACCCTGCCATACTGTATCTTGTATAAAAGAAATAAACTTAATTTTATTGTAAATTGTTAAAAGTATGAAAATTTTTAATGTTAAATAATATACTGTACTGACATTGTGAAACATTTTAATGAGGACATTTGGTATGATGTATAAATTAATCAATCTGCACAGAAGGTACCGTTATGTAAATATACAGTATCTATTTTTATTGTATTTTTGACATGAAAACATGTTGCACAATCTTGTCTTAATTGTTATGCCTATTGGTTCAAGTTCATTGTGTACTTTGCATGTTTGGTATTGTAACTATTTTCTACCAAAAGGACTGGTGTAATTCTCTAAACATGATTTGAACAATATAGGAATCCCTTGCAAACTACAATATTGTAAAAATGGAATCTTTAAAATGAATATCAGTCCAAAAATGATTCAATTCCATTCAGTATTTACAAAGATATGATGAACTGAAATTCCATTGATGTATACTGCTCCCTATGTAAATGGTACTCTGCCATCATTATGTTTTTCTCAAAATCTAATTGATGGGCCTGTTTTTAATCTGATTGAATCCAAGTCAGAAGATTATTTTGCTTTGATGTCTTAATTAAATGTTAAATAATCAATCTGAGTGCATATTACTAAGGATTGCAAATCACACACAAGTTACTTTAAATGATTAATTTACATCTTTACTCGAAAACTTATTGACTGCTTGTTCTCTGGTTTTGATCTGACAGCATAATGATATTATCAGTAGTATAAACTATATCAGGTATAAATAAAACTTCTCAAAATATTGAAATATGATTTTATTACTGGTTTACAGTTACACCTACATGTATTTGAAGGTCATAGAATTAATGTCCTTGTGTATTTGTATAGTATATTTTATTTTCAAATGTGCAAATTATTTAATCTATCTAGTCAGTTTTGTAGATTTAGGAATATTTTTAGTGAACTTTTTTCTCATTGATCAACAAACCTAAATGAATCCATCTAAATTTTAATTGTTTACTATGCTTTCTATCCAATATTCTTATTGACAAATCTTTCCTCAAATATTTGTTTTAATACAACTTCTGATCACAATAACTCATAATTTAGTAAAGTTGAACTACATGTAGTAATTAATAGTTATTTTTTTTAGCTTTATAATACTACAGCTACACCTTTTAATTTTTATTTTGTACAATAATTAAGAATATTTATTTAAAATGTACATAATAAGGACTGGATGTATCACCTTTATACTGCTTTTGTAGATAAAGTTCACTAAATGAAATATTGTCCAAAACACTTATCATTAAAATACCTTATCATTCACAATAAGAGAGATATGTAATTGGATAGTAGAATCTCTCCCTTTTATTCATCCGGTTTTGAAGTTTGGAATGTTCTGTTTTTTTGTATGAATTGCATATCCCATAATTAGATTTAGTGACTAAAACAACAAGCCAAAATTTTATATAAATAATGGTCTACCTTTTTTTGCTTACTTAATTCATATAATATATATTGAAAACAGAAACGATGCCATAAGAATTCCTTGGTTTCTTTTTATCAATACCGTGGATATAACTATATTGTCTGTTTGTCAACATAATCTTTAAGGATGGAAATATTTTCAAATGTTAGAATAGGTATCTGTAAGTTTACCATGAGAAGTTAGTTTGGGGCTTGAATTTGAATATAAATAATGGAATGCCTTGAAAAGAATTGTATGACAGGTCTTCAGAACCTACTATAGGGTTAAATACATTTTATTGTTATTTGTATATGATGCTCTATAGATAGTCAGCAATAAAAGGTGTGAAACCTTTCTTTAATGTTTCTTATAAATTAATATGGTAATAATTTGACTGTTGAATTTCCTTTGACTAGAGCCTTCCATCTGAAATACATTATAGGGTTTTGACTGTTTTGGGGTAGGCTTCCTTTTGATGTAATATGATACTAATCCAGAATTTAACCAGAGCAACGGATGAGAATGTTTTCTAAGACCATTTGCCAAGATTGTCATCATAAAACTATAAATAAAGATTGAAGACCCTTGGTTATATTGCCTACCCCCAGGGGCAGAATTATGCATATATTCTCTTGGAATGAGACACCCAAATTCGGTTATTTTCAACTTTTAATTAACCTAAACATGACCTCATAAACACAGATTTGTAACTATTAAATGAAGTTGACTGTGTTATAGAGGTTTGTGACAATTTCAATTTTTGCCCCAAAACATGCCTAAAATTATCAAAAAATCCAAGCACATAGCCTGCGGCTGGTGCTTCTTCTACAATACTATTATAAGAGCAAAGCAGTTTTGCATAAGCGCATGTTAAAGTCTGTGAAAACCACTATTGGCTCAAATGTGAATGACTCCTAAAAATTCCTGAAACATCTATGGAGATGGATTTTCTCAAATTGTGCTTACAATCAAGGTAATTAAAAAGCATATTTGTACTAAACTGCAAAGGTCTCTAATTAGCATACAATCAAACTAAATTAAAAATATTTTTGAACAGCAAGTGGTAATATTATTAGCACTTTAGATGCCTACATTTGAATAATAAAAAGAACCTTTAAATATGTCTTTCAAGTTCAGTTAACACTTGAACCTGCGAGACTGAAAATGGTCATGAGACTATTTGGTTAGATGGTACCTGGTCAAAACATCAGTATGCCTGCAAAGGAATCCTTGAAGTCTTAGTTACTTTGTATCCCCTTAAGTGCTATCCAGCACTTAGCAGACATTTCATCTTATGTTCAACGTTCAAACCAGAGAACTAAATGCAAAACCCGTGAAGAGAGGAATGTGGTCTAAATCCTAAATTAAGGGTTATTTCCCTTGCACCAGAGAAAAAAATAGGAGGAGGTAAATCTTGTAGCTATTTTAAGTTTTTAGGTAAAATTGAAATAATAAACATTTTTGGTTTGCAGACCTGAAACGAATGCTGTTCCTCCACTGTATTTGTTTTACACTGATCAGATATTAAACTGTTACAGGAACACAAAGTGAAATCTAAATAATAAAAGTTCTTATAAAATAAATGATTGGTCCTGTTGATCACGACTTTATTTACACCGGAAGTACTCTCTTCAGGCAAATCAAGCATTGGTTTTCGAAAGTTAAACGTCCTAGAATAACAGAACCTCTGTACAAGAATGGCACAACAAGGAAATAAGGTGCAGTATGAAATATACTAGAAACTGATAGACATTTTTAATATTAGTGCATGCTGCCTAATGTCTCTTCTATGCAGTCCTCGTAAATGTCAACGGTTTTAGAATTTATATTTTAATTTTAAATTTTTTTAGGTCTATAAAAACAAGCAGAGAATAGGCATCTTAATATTGGTTTAAATAAGTTATAATTTATATGCTATACACCAACTAAAATAGTTTTTACTAAAATAGACCCACACAGTACATACTGGACGCTACATGTTACTAAATATCATTAGGAGTAGTAGGGTCGCCTGTCCAACCTTGTCATGTGACTGTGTGTTTTCTCTGAGTCCCCCCGGTTTCCTTCCACTGCTAAAGACCCCTACGCGCAAGTGAATTGTTGAAATAAAATTGAACCATATGTTAATCCCGAAATGACCTAGTTTGTGTCGAGTGGACGTTAAACCCCATTTCTCTCCCTCTCTCCTCGACCATTATAAGCTGGGAAGGAACAGGGTCTAGTTTTTTGGATGGGATAAAAATGGACATTGTCTGTACCCAAGGATGAATACCCGCTTCGCAGGACAGTCCCATAAAATGCTTCCAATTCCTGTGTCCCGATAACCAGCCAAAAAGTCCCGCAATTGCTCACATGCAAGTTTTCTATATGCGTGAATCTAGTCTCGCGGGGCGAGTAAGTTGCTGAAAGCATGGATTGATGTGATGAATTTTTCAATAAGTGTGTCGTCCACTACACCAGCAAATTTAATCAAATTATAGTTTCCTTGCTCTCCCCATGCCAGTTTGCAATGCTTATGTTGAGCGTATAATTTCACTGGTGAAAAATTACTGGAGAGATGACAAAAACCAGACATCAGTAAAACTTATTAGATATGTGAAATGTCTGGAGTTTCACAAGTATATATTAAACTTTTAAAGATACATTATGTAAGATTTAGATAAAGAGCTAGCCATTCTTGTTATAATAGTTCGAAAATAAATAATGTAAAATGAATAATTTGAAAATTTCATTCAAATTACTTTATTGCGAGCGAAGATATTAGACTTTGAAGGTTTGACAAGACGTGTGCAATAATTTCAACCAACGTACTGGTTGTTTGAAACTAAGTCTCGCTCCTTCATTTTTAGCTTAAATCAAAATATCGCTGAACTGTTTTAATCTATTTAATATCGGAGAAAGCTTTGATTATGGCCTGGATAAGTTAATTAATGTCTAATTAATAATTTAGAAAACATTTCAGCCAGGCCTAAAGAAAGACCTGCAATAGGCAGATTTAGCTCTTGCATAATGTATGTTTAAGAAATCACAGATTATTAGATGCTGTGAAGTCGAACAAAAAGTACCCTCATAAACTCATTAAACTATCTTGAGTTGTTTTATGCATTCAAGAGAAAATCACAAGTTATCACTACAAAATCAGAGTATTTCAGTACCATATTTCTTGTCTCAGATTGCGGGAAATGGCGTTTCCGGGATTCTAGTTAACAATCTCCAAAATGGTTCTGTTTATACTTTTTTTATATAAAAAAAGTCAAATTATGCAAATGGGTCAACTCCTAATAAACTTTGATTTTTTCTTTTACACTATCATTACCAGGTTGTGTGCTTGAGGAAGGCTAAGGCATATTTCATAAGAAAGTATTTGATCATTCAAGGTCATGTGACATCTGTTGGACGTGCTGTAAGAAAGTCTATATATTTAGGTTTTTCTGCATCACAATAACACTGTAATCTTATATGAACATGTTGCATTTTGTCATAAATATTTATCTTACTTATAACATTTCAGTCATTTGGTGATGGTGATAAAGAGAAGAAGAAAAAAGAAAGTATTTTAGATTTATCTAAATATCTTGACAAACCTATCAGAGTTAAATTTAGTGGTGGAAGAGAAGGTAAACTTAGTAGTTAGTACAATGGTTAAAAAGAACAAGTAATTTATTCGTATTCATAGGTGTTCTTTATCTTTATGCATGTATTTCTGACTGTGACTCAATAACAGACACACTGTAAATGTATGTCGGCCTTCCTGTATCCAACTCTGATATTTAATTTTGCAGCCACTGGTGTTTTGAAAGGATTTGATCCTCTGTTAAATCTTGTATTGGATGGAACAACAGAATTTCTAAGAGGTATATTTTTAAAGTTTTGAAATACAGACAGAATAAGAATTGATTGTTGAACTATGTGTGGTTTAATGGTCGAGAGTGTGACATTCAGTATTTAATATTGATACTGCACAAGGACGTTATCTTGCTCCAGACCATTGAACAACTTAAGATACACTCTCCCACACATGCATTTCAATAATGTACGATTGCAACGTTGCCCATACCATTATTTGAAATAACGGTACACCAACATCCAAAGATGACATCACATCTGTATTTAAGTGTAGTTTAATGGTCGAGTGCAAGACATTAAGTAATATATTGATATTGCAGAAACACAAAAGTTTGCACATAGTTTATTATAAAGGGATATATTTTAGTTAAAATAAGGTGAACAAGTTTGAGTAAATTCTCAACTTAAGTCTGAGAATGCTTAGTGAACTCTGGGTCAGGTTTTTCTGAAATTTAAATAAGGAAAATGATTATTATTCTCTGACACATTAATGATTTAAAGTGGAATATATTAACTAAAAAAACTTCCATCTCTTTTACTAGATCCTGATGATCCCTTTAAATTAACAGAGGACACTAGACAGTTAGGATTAGTGGTTTGTAGAGGTACATCAGTTGTTTTAATATGTCCTGCTGATGGTATGGAAGCTATACCTAATCCTTTTGTTCAACAAGATGGATGAAGCCAGTGAACTGTTTATAATTAGACTTACAGACTTGTACATAAAATATCAAACTCAAGGACTGGTTATTTTGAAAATGTGTTCATTAAATGACTTCACTGATCACAGTGCTTAAACATTTTTATTTTGAAGTGGTGGAATCTCAGAATTATGACATCACTGGAAAAAGATTCTAAAAATTCATAAATTATCATAATAAATCATCATCACCAAATGACAGAAGATCATAAAGATTGTTTTGATTTCCAAAGTGAATATTTTGCAAGATTTGGGCAAAATATGAATTAACTATTGAAAAAAGATTCATAGGTAAAATAAATTCCTTTCATTATTGTTGTAGAATTTTTAATAATGGAACAGTGTATTGATGATGCACAATGTTTCCTGTGTTTGAGCTGGAATCAACAACAGTCTGTGGTCCAGATGTATATTTTTATAGTTTCTTCCAAGCAATCTTTGTACATGTATATAAATATAATGCTGGGTTTACACTGTTGAGTTATTATCAAAATTATAGAAAATTGATCCTTTATTTATAAACAACTTTGAGGTTTAGACAGCTTCAAATTCATAATGTAATGCAAAAATTTGATAATGTAAATCTAGTATTATAATGAAAGGGAAGGATTGAACTCATATTCAATAATAAATACAAGTTGTTATTTTTGTCTGATTAATACATTTTTATTAATATACTCGGGCATTTTGGAATTGAATTCACTCCAGTTTCACAAACAGTGACGATAAACCGGAGAATTCTGGGTGACAACCTTTCCTCAGTTTTACACCTCTGAATGTTTACAAGGTTTTGGTGACAGCAACTCTGTAAAATATTGTTGCACGGGTCTGAATTTCGTGATGTTTCCTCCTTAGGATTAAATTAACAGTCTGAACTTCGGAGTGTTTACAAGTTTTTCTTGACAAGCTGTAACTCTTGCGACAAAAATCTGAATATCAGTATGTCTCCGCAGGACAGCCAAAACAATCCCAGATTAAAAATCTTAAAAACTCGACCTGTAAAATTTTTGACAGAAACAGATGACAATAATAACCCCACATATGGGTGTACAAAGAGCAGGGAATGCATCAAGAAATAGGCTACGGTACTTGCCAAGATTGTGAAGTCAGTATCCTGAAATACATTGCGCATATAGGCAGGAGAGGATTGTATCGTATTTTTTGATAATTATCTTGTAATTTCACCAAAAAAAAGAAATGTATGACTTTCATAAAAAATGAACCCAATCAGAATAAGAGGATTGAAGATAATTAGATTTGGTTTGCTGTATCTTCTCATTACATGTTCAGGAGTTATCACCTCATAATTCCTCAAAATAAGTATTTTTGAAATTTGGAGCTTTTGCTTTGTCCTGACAGCAATACAATAAAGAATAAACTACAAAAGCTTTGCGAATTCAATTGCTCAAGACAATCTTGAATATTGTGTAAAATGACAGTTTTCAAGTTTACTGCAATGTTGTCAAGGGGACACAATAGACAACTAGACGGGCAGACTAGTGTCTGTTGCTAAAAAATAAAAGGCGGTATCATTTGTTCCAGGAATTAGAAGCATACACTGCCCTTTGTCAAGGTTTTATATAACTCAATATTACATGATATTTCTGTTAAATAAAAATAAAACACAACTCATATAAGTTTCAATTTATATTTATAGCCATATATAAACTGCTACAATAGAAATTGCAACATTTACCATCAATTGCCGAATATCAACAATATTATATCTAAATATATATATATAAGGACGTGCTGATTACTAAACAAATAATAATAATAACAATTTAACACTGTTTTCCATTAAAGGAATGACATCGATTTAAAATATTTTAATCAAATATTTTTGATTAACTTTCACTCTTTTCAAACATGATTTATTTTCTAAATAAATACATTCAGTATGTATAATTCATAATAATCATCATTTAGTAATAGGAACATTTATTGAAAACATTATTCTTGAAAGAAGTATACAATTGAAATAAATTTTTTACAAAAACAATTTGTACCTTGTAAAAAATAAAGTTTCATAAATAAAATTCTTATATATAATAATACACTTACAAAGGAAATATTAACAAATAAATAACATTTCTTTAAAAATAGGATATTATTTTAAAGCTATCATCTTTTATATTCACAAAACGCCACCGAAATAATCTTGCATAAATATTTCTTGGTTAGTTTCTTTTCAAAGAATGTTAGGAAAAATGTCAGTATAGTTATAGTTAATCAATAAATTATCAAAGAAACAAAAAAAATAACAGATAATCTTTTGTCACAGAAAACTTATAAATAAACAAAAGGCGGGAGATGGATGGAAACATGATATAACTAGTTTCATTTTATGTGGTTTTATAATAGCTGAATTGTCCACTCAATAATAGAAGTTTAAGATAGTTAGCACGTCAATTTACAGCAAAACCAGTACATAAATATACTTGTTTCCCATGAGACTAGATCTACCTTTTTTTTCATCCAAATTTAATTTTTGTTAATTAGGTATGTGGCTGTCCATCTCTGGGGATGGCAAGAGATTAAGTAGTTTCCATGTATATATAGCAATATATAAAAATCTCTCTATAATTGAAGAAATAAGTTTATTTATAAATATAATAATATGGAATAGGTACAGAGTAGTACTGTAAATAAAAACATTTTGATTGTAATCACAGGGCAAGCTCTAACATAGCACTTTACACAGGAATGACAACATACATAACATTGAATATCACAACCGAATTGTAATACACCAACATGAAACATGGAATGCACAGCATAGGAAGAAAATATAAGTTTCTAAACATTTCTTAAGGGAATTATCTCTTTTGCCAAGAACCCAGGTACATGTAATTAATCTTGCATAATGTCACATTCACAGTAATCTGAGACTTACCAATTTTTGTAATCTATGTTTTCCACACAGAGCTAAGTATTTTGCATGAACCTTTGCCAATATGCTTGAAAATTACTGCAAAATTTGTGTTAGTTGTAAATTGAATTTAAAATCTCTGTATGTTAGTAATGAATTGACCATTTTCTTTCAAATTTTGCAATATAATTCAACATTTCTGTTTTGTCCAATTGAAAACTATTTTTTGAACAACAATTCTCAAGGTCATTCCACTACAATTCTGCTTAATTCAAGTAATTAAAGAATGGCTTATTTCAAATTTGTTGACATTGCATATGACAGAAAATGAGAAATCTGTATAAATTCAAAAATAGTATATAAAAAGTTGAAACCAGTGTGGTATATCATATATTTAATAAATTTATCTTTGTATCACAGATTCTTTTACACAAACTCAAAGACATAACTTAAATTGACTAATTTAGGTGAAAAAGCAATAATTATATATAATAATTAAATATGATTATATGAAATATACTGTTACAAGTAATAAGTGATGAAGCTTCAATGGATATTAAGTCATGATCATTAAATTGAGACACATTGTTATTATAGATTAAAGAGAGAGCTTGCCTCTATGGTAATACCAGTAGGTGAATAAAATAATTGGTGGGAATGATGATGCCAACTGTGGAAATGTTTAAAAATAGTAAAAGACAAATGGATAAAGTATATAAAATGTAGTTCAACAAATCTTTAATGTGGTTTTTGATTGACTAACATTAAAAAGAGACAAGTTGTATGTTCACGCTATCAATACCTGAGTGAAAATACCTTTTTTGGCATTAACTTAAAAATGCTTTATCTTTCATTTTTCCTGTATTTGCACCATTTAATTAGCAACAGAAACTAAAATTTACTGCTAAAGAAACAAGTATGAAACGGGCCATAAGTAAATACAGGTGATATTTGATCAGTAACCTTATGGACTGTCTGTATATAGTATTTGTAATCATATAACAATGTTTTAAAATTAACAGTAACAAGTATAAATCATGACAAGGTGTCGTTGTTTATTAATATTAGATTAATTAAGGAGATAACGGACAGTTTATTTTATATCTATTTTAACAAATAGATCTATACAATAACAATCTATATAATATACTATCTACAACCATTAGTTAATCCAATAACTACACATTCTCTGTTGACTAATAAATATATGAACATTGCTTTTCATTCATTCTTTTAACCAACTTAATATATTATATTTGTGTACAGGTGAATTCAGTAGAGACTTCATGTAGTGTTAATCTAATTTAATTAATGAAATCATTGCTTATGATTACTACACATTAATAGAAGCATAGTGAGCATTTTCTACTAATTTACATGAATGCCTTAAAATGAATAGCCCTCTTTGATTTGGGTCAAACAAGTCCAAAAGAAAATTTTCAGTTTCATAAGATCTTATATGTTGATAAGTTATGTGTCTTTGTTGAAAATTTAGTGTTAAGATGTAACTGATTTTGTTTGCTGCTATCATACAAGCCAAAAATACACAGTACACAGCTTGCACAATCACTAATCAATATATCACACAAGATCAACCCAATTTAATACCATAGTTTGACATAACTCAAAGAGGTTTAGCTTCATCGAATTTTAAGTAAATACTCCTGTATTGACATCTGGTAGCTAGATGTAAAATAAACTATGATTAAACTTTCTTTAACATAGATAGATGTAGAACATCAGGAACTTCAATGGATTCCAGTTGAATATTTGAAGGATTAAATGGAAAGGTCACAGGGTAGGAATATTTTGTGTCCATTAATAAAGTATTATTAGTATCATCACGACTTTTCAGTTTTTCTTGTATTTTACGTATAAATGATATTGGTACTCGCTCTTCAAACTCATCTACAGGTGTATACAGGTTTAATATTTTTACAATCTACAAAAGAAGCATTTCAAAGTTATAGTATTTCAAAGTTATGATAAAAAGATAGGTTGCCAGGCAACGAAACATACGTCCACAGCAGCGTCCACAGCAGCTAAATCGTCCGGACAGTCAACAAGAGTCGTCGCATATTTTTACTTTTTTCAGTAATGAAACATTTATAATACACTAAAATCTGATAAAGAGTAACAACTCATTAAGTAATTATCAGAAAATCATTAGAATTTGTTTGGTTTTTATAAAGTTCTGCCCCATGCTTACGTTTAGCATACGAAACATTGAATATCATGGATTTAGCTGTTCAAGTTATCAAAATTCATTGAAAATCAATATACTTGTTCGTTTCAACTCTATGTATCAATCTGAAGTCAATCGGATGATAACATAAGCCTCTAGAGAGCATCACAAGATATTTCAAAGTGATCAAGGGTCATAACTCTGACCCTAGTTATCGGATATCGTTGAAAATCAAAAGGCTTCTTCGTCACATGACCTTAAACACTGTGTATAAATTTAAAGTCAATTGGATATTAACTTTAGCCTATAGAGTGCCCACAAGAATTTTTGAAGTGATCAAGGGCCATAACTCGAGCATTTGTGGACGCCGGACGGACGGGGGCGACGACAATAATTATATATACTAGTGCTGGCATAATATATATTGTTGAATCGATGTTTCGCAAGACACTGAATGAATGTATCGCAATGCTTTTTTTTATGTTTGTTGTTTTTTGTCACTCTTCATTATACATGTCACACATTATCCATAGCTACACACAGCTAAATTGTTTTGGTCCCTATTTTGATCCATATCAATATCATGATATAAAACAGTTTTATTTCTTTGACATTGGCAGGACTAAAAATATCAATTATTCATTTATCCTGTTGTTTTCTTGATAAATATTGACCTGGTTCTGAATCGTGATATGAATCGTATCATGGCACCTGAATTGCAATACATAGCACATATATATAATAAGAATTACCAAGAGTATAAATATTAAAGATAACTTCATTATGAAAATAAACAAAAAATGTAAGCAATCAGATGAATTACCTGAGCGTTAGTTAGTTTTGAACACATATCACTGATACTTTCTACATCCGAATCTGTTTTACGAGCTTGTAATAACTGGGATGCCTGAATAATGGGGTCTAAAGCTATTATAGCTCCAGATTCATGTAGTTTATTATCACGTAACCATTGTTCTAGATGACTTAAATTATACCTAAAATATACAAAATATATTATCAAATATGTACATAAACAAGGGCAAAATGTAAAAACAAGTTTAAGATTTGATTAATTATGATCAGCTCTGACTAAATGAATCGTTTGGAAAATGGTAAAAAAAATGCAACTCTGCATAAAACTAAATTATGTATTCAAGCAATCTGGAACAAGAATTTTCAAGAAATAGTAATTAAAATTCCGGACACAAACGAAGTGAAACCTGCACTCCAACCAATCCAAGCAAATTTTGTGCACTTCTGATAAATTATCACTTTTGAGTATTGGAGGAATTTAAAAAAAAAGTCCTCAAAATTGGTAAAAATGCCATATCTGAAATAACGGTTTAAAAGCCTATTAAGATTGATTTTATATAAGAACTACAGTACCCCTCAAATTCAATTAATTAAATATATACCTCATCAAAATAAATAATATCTTCAAGAAGACTTACCGAATTTGCATGCCTTTAGACCAGTTACACATATCTTTTCTTAATAATAAATTATTTAATGATCCAGCACAAATATAATAAAACACCTGAAAAATAAATGCATATTATCTTAACATTCAGTTTTACAAATGACAAGGACTAGTTTGGGGTGCAAGTTTTTCACAGTTAAATCAATCCAGAGGGGCTTTCTCCGCCATCATTGGGATCGAACCTATTACCTCCTGGTTATTGAGCCAGCTCTTTGTTAACTGAGCCACCATGGCTAAAGGGATATATTATGGATACTATGAATTTTAAAGAATAATGTCGTACCTGTCTAAATATTTGTTTAGCTAGTTCTGGATCTACTGCATGTTGTGTTACTATTCTCATATAATTATTTAACTACAATATATAAAACACAATATGTCAATGATACAGTTTGTGATATCAATGTATTCAAAGGTATGCAATAAATCATTAGTAATCATATACATAAATTTTGAAATAGAATGGAATGGGGTTTTAAGGTCTTGTCATATGGTCCGTTTTATTTCTATGTCTACTTTTACAATGCAAGGCAGGAGAGTTTAGTCCCAAAGCTTTCCTGGGTTCATGCCAGGATTCCAATCTGAGACATTCTCAAGTCCATTTCCTCGACTACCACTGATCCTTAATTTTCACATTTATGATTTGTTGTCTACATTTGTATTATTTTCATTGAGGATATATTTCTGATTTTGCTGTAATAATATAATATTTTGTTACAATATTCTTCTTCTCTTGTGATCTGATCCATGGTTTTATTTAACAATTGTAAAGCATCATTGAACACTTACTATTAAGTGGAAGGGGGTATATATAACTCTTGTAATAATAAATTATGATAATAATATTTACCGCTTTCATTAATGAATCTAAGGTATAATCATTTCCATCCAATTCTCTTGCATTACTTGATGCTCGACCTCTTAAACCTGATGGTTTACTAGCATTTAAACCTGATATAGCTTCATGTTCTAATATAGCTGGTACTATAAATAACAACAATAACAAATGTATACACCACACTAGCAATTTGCATGAATGAAGATGTCATTATACTGATCTATTTGAACATAGTTTTCCACATTTTGTATAAACACATTTTATCAACAATACCACAGGCCTGGACAGACTTACTACAAAACTAATGAAGCTTTAACTTCAGGTCCTAAGAAACAAATTTAGTGTAGGAACTGTTAGTAATCAAATATGGGTGTCCTTGTCATATCACAGGTAGAATCTCAACCTATGCAATTAGTTCCAGATTTGGACTAGTGTATGGTTTTGTATTAATTTTGTTTTTTCTTGTGTCAGGCCATGATGCTGGTTGTAAAGTGCCTCCACGACAGTTCAAGCTTCAGAGACCCAGATATGTACGTCAGCCAAACAACACATCGTTTTTTGTGTAGAATTTCAGAAGGCATTTAATAATAATTGTAACCTGCTTCATTCTTGAACACTTTATCTCTTAAAATCAATTCTAATTTAAAATCAGTATTAGTTACAACTAAAAAATTAGGATTCTTAAAAATCAATTTAAACTTGAAATATGTATACGTTACAAGTTTAACTTAGGATTGCTAAAAATTAATCCAGTATTAATTACCTCTTTAAATTAATTTTCTTAAAAATATGATTTTTAAGAAAGAATTGATTAAGAGCAATTCAGATTTTGTTAGATATAAATTTATTTCATACAACTATGAAGTGTTACACAAACTTCTTTCGTGTCACTATCATCTGTTAAGAATTAAACTGACCTATACTCGGTTGTATAAGTTCTTCCATTCGTTTTAATAAACCTTGATATATCCAAACAGCTAAATCACTGAAAACTTGCCGATATTCTGACAGATCAAAATTACGTAGACATTGTTCATTCTGTTTGGGGGTATTTTCTGTTTGGAATGCCTGTTAAAAATAAAGAAGATACATTAGAGAAGAACAAATTATCAATAAACATACCAATCAGCAGCACAATCATGCACTCCATCTTTTAAAATCTTGTGCCACAATGAGAAAGATAATCAAATTTTCAAAAATTGTTGTGTATCATGGGAGGTTAACTCTGCATTTTGCAATTGAAAAATTCAAAAAGTTTCTTACAGTCCAAATGAACAATATTGAAATAATATAGCAATGGTATATACATTTAAGCTAATGATATTGCTCATTATCACAGCTTGAGGAATATATGGCTTCTGGCATGAGAGAATATATTGAACGTCTTACCTTTTCTCCACTATATTGTTTTAATGTATGAAGCAGACGACATGTATTAGCTAACCATAGAGTTATCCTTTCTAAATCATCATTGTGTCTCTGTAATAACAATCAAACAATAATTATATAGAGAATCTCCTACTCGTGTATTTTTGATATCAAAAAATATCAACACAAGTCGATAAAGTAAAAAACACAAGGCTCTTCCAAGATTTTTTTTTTTTTACTTTATTGATGAGTGTTGATATTTTTGGATATCTAAAAAGACGAGTAGGAGATTTTATTTATCACCCAATTCTTTCTTACATGCACAAAAAATAAATATAATTCTTTGCTATAGATTTCACTTTTACTGAACCTGATTACATTATAGTGATACATCATTTTTTGACAGCAAATCAACCATTGCAAAGTCCTTTATATTGACCCAGTGTTTCCATCAAGGTCAATGAAATAAAAATAGTTGATTTTTAATAAAAAAAGAAGTTAATTTTAATAAAAAATGAACTGTTCTTTGAAAATAAAAAGTAGTTCCTTTTTAACTGACCAATCAAATTCATGTGAAATGATATCTAAGGAGATATCGCAGTAGATTATGAAATTTATCACACAAGCGATATCTACTGTAGAATGTATTATTGGGTGATAAACATCATTACATGCATCTTCTCAAAGAGTCATTCCTGACTACCTGTTTAACTGTGCGAAGAGATAGTGTATAAAATGAACAACCACCGTTTAGACCCTCATGATGTCATTTATTATCACAGTCTATTTAAAATATCCAATAAAATTCTTGATTTATTTTATTCAAATATTAAATTAAAATTTCTGTTTGTGTTTGAACTAACATGAATTGGAAACAGTTGATTTGAATCTAACCATCGATGAAAATTTGGGCATGACTGGTCGAAAATATTACATTGTCTTCGTTCCGATGAGTCATTAAATTATTCTAAAATATAGGTGGCACAGGTGTGTTTTGACTGCCTTATATCGTCTGCAGACCATACTAAATGTTGACAAATTTAAATTCATCATATCTTTGTAAATCCTAAACCAAATTTAAGTACTTTTGGAGATATCCCTTTTAGAGTTCAAATTTCAAAGTATTGCAATTTACAACTACAAGGGATTCAAAATCCCTCAAAAGATGATCAGTAACTTTAATCATCAGGTGATTATAAGTAAATAGTTAGTGAATAATTGTACTATCAAATGAGGATCCGGTGATTATAAGTAAATAGCCAATGAATGATTGTACTATCAAATGAGGATCAGGTGTTTACAAGTAAATAGTCAGTGAATACTAGACAGAGAGGTATCAAATATTTCATACCTTGACAACTTTTTTTATACCATTGATAGTGTTAGTGAGAAGTCCTCGAACTTTCTCATCATCATTTGTAAAATCAGTCTGTCGAACTATCATAAATAATACATAAGCAGGAAGACCAGGTATTAACCCAGCAGCAACTTTAGGTTTCAAATCTGTAAATAAATAGAGTTCATACATAATCAGTCATGATATTTTTGCGAGACATACAAAAAAGATAGGTTGCCAGGCAACGAAACATACGCCCACAGCAGCTAAATCGTCCGGGCAGTCAATAAGAGTTGTCGCATATTTTTACTTTTTTTGGTAATGAAACATTTATAATACACTAAAATCTGATTAAGAGCAACAACTCAGAAAACCATTAGAATTTGTTTGGTTTTTATAAAGTTCTGCCCCATGCTAACGTTTTGTATACAAAACTTTTAATACAGTATCATGAATTTAGCTGTTCCAAGTCATAAAAATTCATTGAAAATCAATATACTTGTTCGTCTAAAGATCTTCAACTCTGTGTATTAATCTGCAGTCAATCGGATATTAACTTTGGCCTCTAGAGCGTCCACAAGATTTTTCAAAGTGATCAAGGGCCATAACTTTGGCATTAATTATCAGAAATCTTTGAAAATCAATAGGATTCTTCGCCTCGTGACCTCAAACAGTGTATAAATTTAAAGTCAATCAGATATTAACTTTAGCCTTTAGAGCATCCACAAGGTTTTTTGAAGTGATCAAGGGCCATAACTCTGGCAGTAATTATCGAAAATCACTGAAAATGAATAGACTTCTTCGTCTCATGACCTTAAACACTGTGTATAAATTTTAAGTCAATCAGATATTAACTTTAGACTCTAGAGCGTCCACAAGATTTTTTGAAGTGATCAAGGGCCATAACTCTGGCAGTAATTATCGTAAATTGCTGAAAATCAATAGGATTCTTCATCTCATGGCCTTAAACACTGTATATAAATTTAAAGTCAATCGGATATTAACTTTAGCCTCTAGAGCGTCCACAAGCAATTGTGGACGCCAGACCGTTGGACGGACGGACGGACGGGGGCGACGACAATATACGACCACATTTCAATGTGGGCGTATAAAAAAGGAATCTTTCTAAACTTATTTAGAAACATACATATATTTAGATGAAACATCAAAAAGCTTTGAAATCTATAGTTTGATGTAATATAAAAATATACCTAAAATAAGATTTTTGACGAGAGTGCCTTCATCTTCTTTCTTCAACTCTAACATTCCCATAAATGCTCTTTCTTTTTGTTTGACTGTTGCTAGGGAACCATTACTATCTATACTTTCAGCTCTTTCTAATTCAGCTTGTATTTCAGCAGCTGTAAAATAATGTATACATATTCAAATAAATGTTGAGACTTATTTGGGTTACAAATTGTTCCATCTTTGAATTTATAGGTGTGATTTAATATTTTCTCCATTCAACCTGTTAAAATCATTAGAACACAAGGCTAACTGTATCCAATAATACCTCCAACTGGTACTACAATATAATCAGCATTACTAAGGACATATTCTCATAAATTAAAGATTAACAAATTATTCATTTGTCACAACCAGTATCTGAAACCTTGTGAGTCTTTATTTCATTTCTAAAATTCATAAAATCTTGTCCAGTCAGGAGTTTTATGTATTTGATTGCTTGTGAAATTGTAAACTGAAACAAAGAGTCTTAAGAAGAGGATGCTTAAAGTAAAGTTTATCTACATAACTAAATAACATATACCTATCTAAATAAAACAATAATACTATTACTATCATTCACAAATCAATTTAAATATGAAAGACATAAATATTTAATTTTAAGTGGACATTTTTAGGGGGGGGGGGGGACATAGAAAAGAAAAGAAGTGAACTATCAATTTAAGGAATACATAATTTTTTTATAAGAAGTGTCACATTTCGCACACATACTTTGTTTTGAAGGTGTACTATTTGTTTTTTTCACAAGGGTTATAACAATTCTACATTACAAAAATTAGCTACACGTTGATGGAAGTTACTGATAACAAGACATGCTTTAATCATACAAATTATTAACTCAATCTTAGAAATCAGAACTTGCAGTGCATAAGTTATTCTAAACACCCAGAAGTTATTGCTCTATTCTTACAATTGTTTCATAATTCTATTACCCATCTATCTATTTGTATAAAGTTAATTTGATATTTAAAACATAGCATAATATCTGGTGTAAAGAATAACACTATCTTACCCGTAGTAGGACTCAATGAACAGGTTGAGTCAAATGTAAATGAACGTTGTAAAGGTCCTGGATAATAGCACATGATAAAGAGGGAAATATATTATATGTCGCCTGCAGTAGGTTTCTTATGAAGTTAATATACATGTAGGACTATTTAAGATTGTTGAATAGTTATAACTGGGTACCTAATATTTGGTATTTTATGTTAAACCAAATTTCTATAATTTCAGAAGATAATTTTGAACTCATTTTCACTGTATGTATATAGTTATCGATTTATTCCTAAGATGTGAAATATGATCAATGTTCTCTGTCAGTATGTTAATGGTTTTAACATTGTTAATATGTGAAAAAAACAGTTTGCTATATGTTCTTACCTTCACCAGCTTGTAATTTTTTAGAATAAACTTTCACCATCTTCTTCAGCATACGTATCTGAGTGGTATGTTTATCTATTTCTTCCCTAAGATCCTAAAAATAAAAAGAAATTTTCATTCTTCACTAATCTGGATTAAAAATTAGTTTACTGTCACAATAATCAAGTTTCTAATTTCTATTGTAGAAAGAAGATTGACACAAGTAAGCATCTCCCTCCACATTTTGTCAGTAATGACTCTTTATGATAATCAATGCATTTACAGAATATCAGATTTTTAACACAGAGTTTTCAGTCAAATTAGCAATTTGAAACACTGAAATTTACCTTTCGTACACTGACTAATAAGTTCATCCAACAATTTAATGGTACCTAGTTCTTATGATCAAGTAATTATTTTAAAATCTTACCAAGTTTTCTGAAGTCAATCTGGTGATTTCATGTTGCATAGTTGCTTCAATCTTAGCTTCTGGACCCAAAGACAGATTCTGAAAGATACAAATTTCAAATTATCAGTAGTCAACCTAAACAAGCAAATAATCTATTTTCAATGCATTAACCTTAGGTTAACATTCATAATTATAGATTATAAATAGTTTAAACACACATTAGGCAAGAGCTAAATATGCCTATTGCAGGTCTTTCTTTAGGCCTGAAATGTTATCTAAATTATTAATTAGACATTAATTAACTTATCCAGTCCATAATCAACTCTCGATGTCAACGCTAGCCTGCTATATTTACTGGATTAGGATTCAATTTGCTGCTCAACTTTCATTCATGATTTAATCATGAAATGGATAATCGAGACTGTATTTTTATCGTACTGACTTTAATAATGATGATCGAGGCTAAGCGCCAAAAGACAATCGCTAAAATCTTGGTTCAGAGTGGATCAAACTGACTGATATTTTCAGCAAATTCCCTTTACATTATCTAGTTTTTAACTATTATAGTGAGAACTGCCAGCTCTTTATCTAATCTCCCATAATGTATCTTTAATGGCTCTAGGACAATTCGTCCCTGGTCCCCAGACAACTCGTCCCTGAGGACAATTCGTCCCCGAACAATTCGCATCAGGACTATTCGTCCCCTAGGGCCAATTGTCCCCAGACAATTCATCCCCTAGGACAGTTTGTCCCTGAACAACAATACTGGTAGTTCCATTATCAAAAATTGAATTAATCTTTACTTTTTATTCTAAATCTCAGTTTTGATGCTAGTTTTACTTCGTTTTAGATTTAGTATTAAATCTAGGCCTTAACTTAATGGTTCCTGAATTTTTTTCGGGCTAATTGATAAGCATGTATTAATCAGCTATGGTCAGTGACACCTTTTGTGAGTTAGAGAATCTATTTATCCCTTCACTATGGGTATTGTCCATTGTCAATACTGCACTTGACTAAAATCAATATGCATTATTGTGTATGATAAAACAATGTAGACCAGACATCAGTTAGTTTCAACTTCTTCAATTTCTTTAGGATTAGTTGTTGATCACAATTAGGGGATGAATAGTCCTAGGAGAGTTGTCAGGGGACAAGTTGTCAGGAGACGAATTGTCCCACACCCATCTTTAATTAACATGCCAACCATATTTATATATTTTTTAGGACATGTTTTATTAACAACTTCGCCACAAGTTCTTCAATTTAAAATGTATCAATGCAACATTCATGTGACTTGTTAATTATAGAAAAATCCAGAAAAAAAACATGCAAATTAAATACTCAATTTCATTTACAAATTATACAAATCAAATCATTATTTTATTACCGTCCCCTCCAAATCCATGTTCCTGTTAACACGGTTACTAGCAAAACACAATTAGAATTAATTTTTAATTTAAATTTTAGAAATGTAGACAACATGCAAATTGTTGAAGAATGTCCAATCCCAAAACGAAAGAGAGAGAAATGTAGCATGCTATAACTACGTACTACTGTCACATCATTTAGCTGCCAGAAACAAAGATGAAAATACTATGTAATTCTATAATATTATATAAAGTAAACAAGCGATTGCCATGCAAGATATATCCACATTTTGCAAGAGATTGACAGAGAACGAGCTAAAAAAATAATGTGATTTTTTGTACAATCTGGGGCCATAATCGAAAGGAACCGAGATCTTTGGGTTATGAACATACATTTCAAGTTTTCATCAAAATCATATAAAAATTGTGACCTCTAGAGGGTCCACAACCTTCGTATTACATACTTTTACACATTTTGCGTACAAAGATAGGCCATTTTGCAGGGAAGTTTCATTTCAATTTTCCTGAAATTCGAATTCAGCCTTCATTATGGTGGAATGGTGATATATTTAAACGGTTTTAAAATCGGAAAAAAAATTGTGACCTCTAGAGAATCTGCAAGCTAAAAATGCGATTTTACGAACAATCTGGGGCCATAGTCCAGGAAGTTACATTCAGATATGCACGATTATCAAAAGGAACCAAGATCTTAGTGTGTAATGGTGATATATTCACACATTATTTTTTTTTAAATCAGATAAAAATTGTGACCTCTAAATTTTGTACAATCAATGGCCATAATTCAGGAAGTTACGATCTGATATGCACAAATATCAAAATGAACCAAGATCTGTGGGTTATAAACATGTAATTTAAGTCTCATCAAAATCGGATCAAAATTGTGACCTCTAGAGGGTCCACAACGTTTGTATACTAGATGTTTACACTATTTGCAAACGAGGGGCAGCCATTTTGTGGGACAGTTTTGGTCCGATTTTCACGAAATTAGAACTCAATCAACATTACGGTGTAACGGTGATATATTGGAACGTTTTTGTAAATCAGATAATAATTTTATATCCGATAATAATTGTGACCTCTAGAGGGACCACAAGCTAAAAACGCGATTTTTCATACAAATGCGCAAATATCGAAAGGAAGCAAGATCTTTGGGTTATAAACAGGTATTTCAAGTTTCATCAAAATTGTGAGCTCTAGAGGGTCCACAACCTTGATATACCTTTTACACTGTTTGCAAATGAGGGGCGGCCATTTTGTCAGGCAGTTTTGGTTCGAAATTCAAACTCAACTGTCATTAAGGTGTAATGTGATATATTCAAAAGTTTTTTTTAAATCGGAATAAAATTGTGACCTCTATAGGATCCACAAGCTAAAAAGAATGGGATTTTTCGTACAATCAGGGGCCATAATTCAGGAAGTTACGGTCCGATATGCGCAAATATCAAAAGGAACCAAGATCTTTGGGTTATAAACTTACATTTCAAATTTCAACAAAATCAGATAAAAATTGTGACCTCTATAGGGTCCATAAGCTAAAGATAGGTTGCCAGGCAACGAAACATACGCCCACAGCAGCTAAATCGTCCGGGCAGTCAACAAGAGTTGTCACATATTTTTACTTTTTTCGGTAATGAAACATTTATAATACATTAAAATCTGATTAAGAGTAACAACTCATTAAGTAATTATCAGAAAACCATTAGAATTTGTTTGGTTTTTATAAAGTTTTGCCCCATGCTAACGTTTAGTATAGGAAACTTTTAACATCATGGATTTAGCTGTTCAAGTCATAAAAATTCATTGAAAATCATTATACTTGTTCGTCTCAAGACCTTAAACTCTGTGTATGAATCTGAAGTCAATCGGATGATAACTTTAGCTTCTAGAGGGTCACAAGATTTTTCAAAGTGATCAAGGGCCATAACTTTGGCAGTAATTATCGGAAATCGTTGAAAATCAATGATTCTTCGTCTCATGATTTCAAACATTCTGTATCAATTTAAAGTCAATCGGATATTAACTTTAGCCTCTAGAGCATTTATAAGAATTTTTGAAGTGATCAAGGGCCATAACTCTGGCAGTAATTATCGAAAATCGCTGAAAATGAATAAACTTCTTTGTCTCATGACCTTAAACACTGTGTATAAATTCAAAGTCAATGGGTTATTAACTTTAAATAGACTCAAGAGTGTCCACAAGATAGGCCTCTTCGTCTCATGACCTTAAACACTGTGTATAAATTTAAAGTCAATCGGATATTAACTTTAGCCTCTAGAGCGTCCACAAGCAATTGTGGACGCCGGACCGCCAGACGGGGGCGGCGACAATATACGACCACATTTCAATGTGGGCGTATAAAAACACGAATTTTCATACAATCAGGGGCCATAATCCAAGAATTTACGGCCCGATACATGCCAATAACGAAAGGAAAAGGGATCTTAGGGAGATAAACTTATATTTCAAGTTTCGTTGAAATCGGATAAAAATTGTGACCTGTAGAGTGTCCACAAACAATTGTGGACGGACGGACAGGGGCGAAAACAATATACGTCCACATGAAAATGTGGGCGTATAAAAACTTCTCTCTCAGAATTTATACAGACTCAGGGGCAAAGAACATCTTTACTAGATAAATGCAATATGTCATGCTTGAAATAATTTTAATTTCAAGCAGGCTGCAATCAGCATGCAAAGTTTATCAAATGCCCTGAGTGACCCTGTTTCACATAGCACAAGTAGGACTTACATACTGTAAATTGAATATTCAACTCTACAACTCTATTATTTGTGCATGCATGCTACCTCAGAACTTTGCAATTTGTGCTTACAGTTATACTTTAAATTTTAATGTTTGTTCACCACAAATCTTTGTGTTGGCATACTGTGTGAAAATATACTTTTTTGGTCTTAAATAACACTAAATTAAAGACCAAATATATTCTTTATTTTCTCCAATTATTTAGAGTACAAATTACAAGCACGGTATGCAGTGTATGCATATTATGGTTGAAAGCCAGACTCATTAGATTTTGTTGAATGTAATATTTCAGGCAGCAGACAAATGGGTTGTACCAGTATATTATAATGTAGGTATAAAATAATTTCACCCTTACCTGTCCAATAAGTTTCTGTTGACGTTCATTATCTTTTCTAAGTTCCTTTATTTCTGCTTTTAATTCTTCTTGGATTTTTTTCGCCTCTTTTTCAGTTTTTTCTAATTGTGACTGAAGTAACCTGAAATCAAATACAAATAAAGAATCTCAATGATAAACTATTATACTTAGACTGGAAAATGTTACTACACTGAAATCTAACTGTAAGAGGTGGGGGTCAAGATGGTTCCAGAAGCTGTTACAATGAAGCCCTATAACTAAACCGTCCAAAAAGAAAAAATATCTGTTGAACAATTTGATTACCAAACTGAAAATCTATGACAACTCCTAGCAGAAAACTCCTGAAATTTTGGTTGTCTCATGGCTGACCAACAGATATATTATAAGCATTAGCTTATAATTATATGAAACAGAGTTTCAGGATGTGAACTAGCCTATATCAGTGATTATGTCATAGTCTTTTTTTCAAAGACATTTTAGCATTGTTTTAATTTATACGTGAAAATGTTTTTATCGCACACATACATCAATCATCATTAAATACATTTACTTTACCTATTTCCTTCAAAAAATAATATTTGCCAATGTGACAAGATTCATCCCCCACTCCTACTAGTACCTCAAACTAATAATCTTATTGTTTTAATCACACATTTATTTAATACAAACACTTTCAACCAGTAGTAGTGTTTTACCGGTGAGTAAAGCAAGGATTGTAGTCTTATTGCATCAAGTTGGTTTAAAATAAACTTGGCTACATTAGAAAAAGACAACATACTTTTAATAAAACGTGCGACTTGTATTGTAGTAGTGGTGAGTAGAGTGCCATGCCTGATAGGTGTATGCTTACTCTTTACAGACATTTCTTAATCTCTGGGCATCAAGTATACCTCTAACTGATTTACATCATGAGAACAGAATATGAACCCTTACAGGAATATGCTAGATGGTGTGTCTAAAGTTCTTCATTTTGTATCTAGCGATAGTCTCGATCATCCTCGGTTACCCAGTGTACTCATTCTGTTCTACTCCACTATACCCTGGGTTAATCCATAGGGTTTCCATGATTTCAAATTATCTGCCCTGGCCTAGAATGTAGCTACAGTCTACGAACCAATCAGAAAACAGTTTACAAACCAATCGTTTCGCCTTCGTTTTTATAAGGGTAGATAACCATATTCATGTACATTTACTGAATGATTTATGTAAATAATGTATATATTTATAATTTATTTATATCTAATTGTATTATCAAAATCTGTAGTATGTGTTGTTGATTTCAAGTATGTATAACATCTATATGTTTGACTTTTGTTATTATTATTACTATTCGTTCTTTGTCTGAAATATGTCATTCTGTTATGTTTATTATTATTGAGCTTATACTTGGCAATTTGATTCACAATAACTTGTCTACGATATCACGATATCACGTGGACATAAAATTCCCGGAACGATTCTAAATAAAACTAATGACAATACATTATAATATGAACGAATGGTCTTCATTAACATTGTTAATAATTACGCATTTACAATAAGCCAACTCCTAAGATTGTCCAATGAGAGTTACTTCCCTTTGCAAACTTCCTTTTCAAATAACAATTTATGGGATTGGTCAATAAAAACAGCCCAATCATCAAGGGCGGATAACTTGAAAACATGTCTCCCCCATAGATTAACCCAGGGTATAGTGGAGTAGAACGGAATGAGTACACTAGGTAACCGAGGATGAGTCTTGATCTGCACAATCCAAATTATCTCTCCTTAATTAAACTACAAATTTGAAGACAAATTTTGATGAAACAATAAAGCCCAGTCACACTGTTAAACAATACATGTGGTTTGTTCCATATACTGGCAGACGTAAAACTCCTTATATAGTGCAACACATGAATATATAGAGCAAAAAGATATTTTGATGCCAAAATATTTTCGATTTAAACAAAATAAACAAACTGGTACACTTAGTGTGGCCATAGTAAACATTCTTTAAATTGAAGACATAATTCTATCCTTATTTGTCTGTAGATTTGACACCTGAATAGACACACCTGTTATTGTTTTCATCTCAAACATAATCTAGCATCTTTATTCTGTCTGCACTCTTTACAGCGGGGGAGTAGGAAACTCTCAATCTGTTTCACAGAGAATTCCGAGTCTTCTCTAATTTCTCTGTAAAAGACGACTGCCTTTAACATGTGCCGTCACAGCACGTGGCATCAATCATTGGCTGAATGGTGCATGCATTGTTTATATAAGACGTTACTGTTTCGGGCAGAATGCTGCCTTTTAGTCATTTTAATACTCATTTACACTAAATAGGAAATGATTTTTACCTACAAATACGTCAAATGTCTTTATTTATTTTTCTAATACATAAAAAAAATGTTTTAGAATTTAATTTGTCGGTGGAAAAAAGTTAATATTTAAGACTCATTAAGTCGCATTGATGTCATCCTGATCAGTGATTGTAGCGGCCTAGCAAATATTCCCTGCTGATCAGTGTGGGAAACTCTGTCTTCAGTCTGAAGTGTATTATACTGAGATGCAAAGGAAATGCACCACTGATTTGATAGGTTTTGTTGGCAAGATTGATATGTGATTTACAGATACAACAACAACCCATAGAGACCGTAACAACAGTACTTTACAGCTCAGGTACTTATTGTCTAATGAAAAGTGTGTTTTCAAGTGTTCAGATGCAAAGCTACACATATCGTTGAGTCTTCCACAGAACTGTAGGAGTTGTATTGACAATAACTTTGTAAAAAGACATTTTTTGAACTAGACAAATATAAGAGTTATGAGAAATGAAGTATTAGGTTATTGCCTCAGGTCAAGATTATAGAGAGTAGAATGATGTAGAACAGTACTACTACTAGAATATAATACTTTACAACAGGTTTTTTTACTTCTTGCTTGGATAATAAACAAATAAAATCTACCCCCAGGCCATTCAACAAAAAAATAATATACTACAGGCCGTGTATTTATATCTTTCAGTTAGTGCAATCTCAATACTAAATACTTTTTTTTCTGATATATATATATATATATATATATATATATATATATATATATATAAAACAGGATTTAACAAGGTACTGTATATTACCTGTGTTGCACTTTTCAACTTTCTAGAAGTTCAATGTGATGAAACTTTCTAGAGGTTTAATGGTCAAAATCTAAATGGTCAAAGTAGACCTGTCTAACATATCCTACAACAATATTTCAACGCTAAAATCCCTTCAAACGAAAAGTGAAAGGAAGGGTTTAAACATAAAATGGATCATTAGTTCTCAGATTGTTTATCTTCAATTAGTATAGACTGTGTGAAGTTCTCTTTATAAATAAATGCTATAATGATGAAAGGATGTGATAGTTTGAAGATATTCTAATTGTACATGTGATCCCATGTCACTTCCGAACTGTAAATATATCTCCTAACTAAAATACATACAATGTCAAGTTTACAAACAATCCACAATGACAATATAACAATATTTATTAGTTAAAAGTTCAAACTAAACTTAATATGCAGGCTTGTTTAAAAGCAACTAATTCCTTTACAATAATATAGTAAAAAACACAGAACAAAAAATTCTAGAAAAAATTGATCTCAGACAGCTTTATTTCTATGTTTGCATGTGCAATGTAATGGGGACGATTTTACTGCATACTCTTCTTTGTGTTCCAGGGGGTTGGAAAGCCGAATGGTTAGCGTGTGCACATTATATCATAAGGTCTGTCACTGACTCAACTGGAGTTGTTTCGATTCCCTGGTTGTACGTGACAAGGAGTAGGGGTGCCTGTCCAACCTTGTGGGTTTTCTTCGGGTCCTTCGGTTTCCTCCCACTGCTAAAGACCCATACGCACAAGCAAATTATTGAAATAAAATGGAACCATATGTTAGTACCAAAATGACCTAGTTTGTGTCAAGTTGACGTCTCTCTCTCTCCCGTCTCTCTCTCCCCTCCCCATTCCAACTGATAAAGAGATCTTTGTATGCAGGACATTGGTTTTTTGTACAATCTAAATGACTAGACAAAATTTCAATGTGAGCCCTACGGACACTAACCCTGACATGCTAGAACTGGGCTTGAAATATTCTTCTCGGCAGACAGTGCATAGCATAATGTCTCTACATAATAGGTTGTATAAGCTAGTATTAGTACTATGTTTATAGTAAATAACATGACATCTTACCTAGCAGTTTTACAATCATAACAGACATCACCATTATACATTTATAAATGTCACTTGTATTTGGGGTAGCTCATCAGTGTAAATACTGACTGTACACGTATTATTAATCATACAGGCCTACATGTACTATATAACTGTCACATAAAGTAGTCGAATAATGTTTTATATCTTGGTCTATTTCTTCTCATACATATTATTTTCATATTAAGAAATGTACATTTAGCCTATTTATCTTGACAGTAGCGTAGCCATTTAACTAAACATTGTAAGGAATAAATTTTATACAAGCTTTTAATTAAAGATACATTATGGGAGATTCGATAACGAGTTGGCAGTTCTCATTATAATAATTAAAAACTAGATAAAGTAAAGGCAATTTGCTGAAAATTTCATTCAAATTGATCCACTATGAACCGAGAACGAAGCGAATGAAATTTCTGCCTAGCCTCCGTCATCATTACAGAAGTCAGTACGATAAACAGCATAGTCTCAATTATCCATTTAATCGTTTAATCGAGAAGGAAAGTTATGCAGTAAATCGGCTCACAATCCACTTAAGATCGCATGCTAGCGATGTCATCTAGAGTTGATTATGGTCTGGATAAGTTAATTAATTTCTAATTAATAATTTAGATAACATTTAAGGCCTAAAGAAAGACCTGCAATAGACAGATTTAGCTCTTGCATAATGTATGTTTAACTTTCAAGTTATCTCAATGTGTTATTTTAATAGTTTCCACCCCCCACGCTATAAAAATTGATCTGTTCTTCTGTCCGTCTGTCTGTCTATCCGTCTATCGGTAATACTTTTTCAAACACACCAAGTCTAACTGAGGTAGAACATTCAAACTTAGTGTAGATGTTCAGGATAAACAAACATTAACAATGAATAATTCATTTGAACATTTTCTA